TGCCCCCACATAACTCCAGGATGTTGATAGAAGCAGCCGTATTTTCCAGAGCAGACCTTCAAGGGCCATAAGGGCCATAAGAAACCTGCAGAAATACAAAGAACGATTTCACTTATTCAGCACATCAGCATCATAATAATAATTTGTTAGTAATAAACAACCAATTACATAGCGCTATTAACATACGCTGATCAAAAGCGCTTTACACTAAAAATAATAATAATAATCCTATTGATGTAAATAATAATAATGATAACAATTATAGTCATAATCATCATCACAATATTAGTAATAACTCTTAAACCGTGTCGTTCAAGTGTATCCAGTATTAGCTCTTTTGCTTAAATTTTATCATGTCACTAAAAAAAGATTGCACCAGCCCATAAATTGACTTAAAGAGGGGGGAAACCTGATCCTCTCCCACGTACAGTCAGGTAAGACCTCGAAGGAGAAAGGTTGCTGAATTGTAAAATTTTGATGCTACAGTTTTTACCATTCCTTGGTGTCCAACGTGTGCTAGGTCTACAGCTCTGCCTCTCAGTACTTTTGGGACTACAATCCTGTTTCCTCTCAGTACAATTCCTTGGTAGGCCGACAGTTCGTCCTTCACATTTCTGTACTCCTGTACTTCGGGATGTGTCCAATTGTCAGTCTCGATGGCCTTGATAAGTGCTTGGAGCGAAACGTCCTTCTCCGACTCTAACTTGATTTCTTGCAGCGTCATTGCTTTTGGCACTGCCTGGTTGCATACATAGTTCACGTAGTCTTCTGCAATGCTGCTCTCCTTGCTTTCTATGTTACTTGGATGGCGGCTCATAAAATCGGCTGGATTCTCTGCGTCCTTGCCAGGTCGATAGGTGAGTTGGCAGTTGTAAAGGCATGAGCCTCAGCTTCCATCTGTCGATGCGCGCTGACGTTGGCTTGTGACTGTTAAAGATACCTAGGAGTGGTTTGTGGTCTGTGGCAATGGTGAACTCTGATCCATACAAATAAAGATGGAAATGTTCGACTGCCCAGACTACTCCTAGCATCTCCCTCTCCGTTTGAGAGTATCTGCTCTCGACGTCACTGAGTGCTCGGCTAGCGTAACTGATAACTTTACCATCCTGTACCAACAATCCTCCAAGTCCGACAGGGCTCGCGTCGACTATCACTTCACTCTTGAGTCTTGGATTGAAGTACGACATCACGTGATTCTTGATCATGCTGTCTTTCAGCTTGTCGAATGCACGTTGCTGTTCGTCGGCCCACTGCCATGACTTGTCCTTCTTGGTTAACAGTCGTAGGGGAGCAGTTATCGTAGCGTAGTTTGGAATGTAACGAGACACATATTGAGCCATTCCCAGCAGAGACTTCACCTCGCCGATGCTTTCTGGCTTGTTCATGTCTGTGATCGCTTTGATCTTGGCAGGGTCTGCCTTGACTCCATTCTTGCTGAAAATCTGTCCGTAGAACTTAATCTCACTCCTTGAAAAGGAACATTTCTCCTTGTTCAGGCGTACGCCATGTTGTTTCAGCCGTTCCAGTACACCACGGAGGTTCTCATCGTGTTTCTTCTGAGTTTTTCCATAAACGATAATGTCGTCGGACATATTCTTGCATCCAGGGAGGCCTATGAGTATTTCTTCGATTGCGTTCTGAAAGATCTCGGATGCTGCGTTAATTCCAAACATGAGGCGCTTGTATCTTCGGAGTCCGACGTGTGTGCTGAATGTGGTAATGTAGCGGCTCTCTGGGGCCAGCTCCAGTTGGTGGTATCCAGACGAAAGGTCTAACTTGCTGAAGACTGTCGCTCCGTTGAGGTCAGCAACCAGATCGTCTATGGTCGGCATCAGGTGTTTTTCTCGTTTAACAGCCTTGTTGGCCTCTCGCATGTCCACACATATTCTCACTTCACCAGAGCTCTTGGGGACTATGACAATAGGGCTCACCCAGGGTGTTGGGCCCGTTACAGTCTCGATGATGTCTAGCTCTTCTAATCGCTTTAACTCCATTTCGACATCCTTTCTGACATGGAAGGGTATCCGACGGTGTGGTTGTTGTTTGGGTGCAACGTTAGTGTCTATGTGAAGCTTGATGACTTTCCCTCGCACTTTGCCGATTCCACCGAACAGGCTCTCCAAATCTCCGTTAGTGGGGGACTGGGGACTGGTCTCGTCAGGTTTGACTTGATTGATGATCTTGAGCACACCAAGTTTCGTAGCAGTGTTAAAACCCAGGAGGTTTCCTGAAGCACCTTTGATGACGTGCAAGGTTGTCCATGTGCTGCTGGCGTTGACGAATATTTCGGCTTCGATGGTTCCCAGAACAGGTAGGGGTGTGGATGATCCGTAGGAGAAAATTCTGCGCTTGGAGGCTTCTGGTACCGTCCGTTGGTATAACTCCCTGAAGGTGCGTTCGTCTATGAGATCGACCGATGCACCGGAGTCGACCATCATTTCGATTTGCTTTCCATCGATCCTGACGTGGCAAGTTGGTTGCTTGTCACCGCCTATAGTGTATACGTATTCGTCATTTTCGGCCGTGTCTTCATGTGAGACGTGTTTTGCTGACTCAGGTGGATTTGTTCTACAAACATGAGCAAAATGGTTTAGTTTGCCACAGGAGGTGCACTTCTTGTTCCTCGCGGGGCAGGAGTCTTTTGTGAGGGTATGGTCCGCCACAGTTCCTACATTTAATATTCTCTTTTCGGGAGTTGCTGTGATTGCGTGACTCGTAGCGAGTGCGTGACTCCTGGCGAGGTTGTTGATGGCGCTGTTTCCCTTTGAGATATGTCGAGATTCCTCTCTTCTTAAACTTTACCGCGTTTACGGTTTGTTCGTGATTTTCTAACTCCTTTGCTTGTATTTCGCTTAATTCTAAGGCTATACCAGCTTTCATGAGGCCGGCTAAGTCGAGGTCTTCTCGCAGAGCTTTGCGCCGCAGGGAATTCGATTTACAGTTCAAGATAATCTGTTCTTTGATTTCTTTGTCTGGATTTGTGAAATCGCAGGTCTTCGCTAGGCTTCTCAAGCGTGTGTGAAAACAGTCAAGGTTTTCTCCGTCTTTTTGCTTGGCTTGCCGGAAATTGTACACTTCGTACGTTACGTTGACTTGCGGAGAGAAGTGAGCAGTTAGTTTCTCGACGGCCTTTTTTGTAATCTTTGTCTCCACCGACGTCTTGAAGCGTGTCGAAGATCTCGTCGACTTCTGGACCGCCGTAATGCAGCAAAAGGGCTCTCTTCTGCGTATCATCGGAGATTCCCATTCCAATAGTTAGTCTCTCGAATCTTCCTAACCATTTCTTCCATCTTGGGCCTGCATTTCCATCGAGGTGAACTTCAAACGGTGGAAAGTTTGGTAGAGAAATGGCCATGATGTTTACGCGGGAAAATGCTTCGGAGATCGCTTTGGATTTTTTGTGAAAATCACTTCGGAAATCCCGTTAAATCCTTTTGGTTTTTTGTGTGTGTGTGTTCTATGAATAATCCTCGTCGCCAGATGTGGTGTTTACGGCTGAATAACCACTGAGACGTTCGGTAGAAACACAACGATATTTTAATCAACCTGTAAGACGAAACCCGACTACAGAATAACTTCTCTTCATAAGGACCGCGTGTGCATTCCGAACATTATGATTGGCAGCTGTCAGAAACACTACAGATTCCACCATCAGAGAAAGGCATAAAAGTGCGCCCTGTTTTGCCACCTTACGCCACGTGACGATTCCCGCGTGACAATGTTTACACTACTGTAAATATGTGAATATCATATATGTGAACTACAGTTTTAAGCTATGAATATGAATGCGATCTTCACAGTAATGATTACTTCTTGAACAGTAATGGAAATAAGGGCCTAACAAAAATTCAGGCCTGTACGGGATTTAAATCCATAACCTCTGCGATACGGGTGCAGTACTCTACCAACTGAACTAACAAGCCAACTGGGAGCTGGCTACTATATTGGTCTCATACATAGATACATAGATTTACAGAGATATTTATATATGTACATAGATTTAGGTTAAGTTCGATGCTAAAGTTCAAGTTAAGGGTACAAAGCGTAAACATCTGCGCATGTCTCACCGGCATTATTCAATTCGGTATAATTAGCCAAGTCTTGCCCATACCATATTAGGAACTGCTGTCCAATCGACACAACCAGAGGGGTGGGGAGCAGGTTAAACACAAGCGTCGGGGAGTTGACATGAGCACCGTCAAGTTGGTACCTATAGTCATCAACGCCTTTCACGAACTCAGCAAGCGGAAGAACAGTCTTGTTGGGGTAAGTTATCACCGTCAGTAGTATACGACGTCCCAAATCTGGGTGTAAACATCCCCACTTTGTTGATTCGAAGTCAGTATTACATGCTACGGTGCCATTTGTATGGACAAGTTTGAATGTGTAGATTTTACCGGCCTCTTAGATTTCAAAGGATCCGAAGTCGTCATTTTTTGTCCCGAAGCAGACAGGATCGGTAAGCAATCTTTTTCCAGTTATCTGTTAAGGACATTAGTAGTTTTAAAAATGATATTAGCAAGTCAAGTCAAGGGAGAGTTTGATCGAAATAAAGAGCTTGTCGATAGAAGTTAGAAATTGACGGTTGCAATTGTCCAGACAAGATTAGTCAGATTAGTATTTTGATAAGTATCGCCGCGCGTTAATGGTGTCGAAATTACAATTTTCTTGACCAGAAGGACGCCTCATTGAATATCTGTGACAGATATGAGCGTTAGCTTGCATTGCACAATTGCAAGCCACACTTAAATAGTTAACAACACTTTGGTGATTGATAAATCAAATCTTTCAGCTTTCTTCTGTTAATATGGTGTAAAGAGGTGGAAAAAGTGTAGCGTTGGTTATCTAAATAAGATTTCGTGTTCAGTAAGAAATCAAGATACACCTAAGCAAAAGTATCGTCCATCTTTAAGGCGTCCAGACTGACAGCTGCAGTCGAACGATCCAGCGGTGTTTTTACAGTTGGCCGCATCACGACAGTCATGGTTACCATCGTTACATTAATCGATATCTAAACATAGTAAAATCAAATGGTAAAAATTGAAGGACTAAACGAACTTTAGGCAAAGTACACCTCGCGTGAAATTTCTCATAAATAGGGGAATGAAATCCAATAGAGCTAGAGGCCAGTAAGTGTAGCAAACTCCATCCGTGGAAATTCTGCTCATGCCATATTTGAAGACTTTGTAATCAACAAACTTTGTTAGGCATGGAATGTGCAGTGAAGTGATAATAGTAGAAAAGAAGAGAAAAAAAGCTAACAAGTTGGTAGCCACGTTCGGCTTTTTTCGGCTTTGTTTTTGGCCTCTGCCTTTGGCCTAGATAGATATTCTTAACAAGGCCTAATGAGCTGTAGATGATATCTATCTTAGTGGCCTATATGCCTACAGAGCAAGCGTAACCACCACTATGGGCTAAGTGCGCATCTGTGGCTTGAACATGCCACTCAGTTACCTCTCGTATCCCCATATATCTACCACTTTCTGTCGTTACTCTCTGTCTGTCTGTCTCTTAATCTGTCTGTCTGAATAAGATATAAATGGTAGCTAACCTAATTTTATCAACTTTCTCTTATTCGATATGCAAGACTTACTGACTACATGTTTTTTGTTTTTGCTGGTCTTTATATATGTGTCCACTGTTTTTCTTTTTGTCTTTGTTGTCTTCTTCATTGTATGCAAATCTTACCTTGACAGGTCTCTCCATCGTCAATATATCTAGGACTACAATGTGAGCACTTATATGAACCAAAAGTATTGACACATTTGCGCTCTGCACGGGGACAATGGTGTTTTCCTGGTACGCATTCATCAACATCTACACAGAATTTAAAAAAAACCAAAGCTAAAAACTCTCAAGGATGAGACATTTCGTCCAACTTTATGAAAGTGGCCCTACGTATCTGTGTAATTTTCTTTCTGCTCCTCTTCCTGCCTGTCCTTTTCACATCTTTTAAGGCAGGATTCTTTAGCTTGTTCTCCTGTCTTTTCCCCGTAATGTTGCACGAATTATTTTTTGGAAATTATAGCTGCTTAACTTTATTGTAAAATCAATTAAATATTGAACTGTCTGAACTCATCATTTTATCGTTAGATGTTTTTTCCCTCACCTGTTTTACACTGAACTCCCTGATATCCAGCAGGACAAATACAGCGGTATCCATGGTTACCAAAGCCCGCTTGACAGGTGGCGTGATGGGTGCATGGAATGCTCTCACAAGGATTCTGAAAGATAAGAAAAAAATAGATCACTTTATACAATAAATCAATTAAAACATGATGAATAGATAAATAAATAACATAAAAAGGAACAACACTGTACCCGAGTTTTTTTACCCGTAAACTGATCACCTTTGTAAAACTGAATGTTACCAGGCCGTACTTATAAAAATTTCTGTGTACACAAATCCGCTTTTGTCTTCGAGGGAGTCGGGGACTTGTAAGTAGGTCCTGTCATTCAGCTCACATGTGAATGTTCCATCTGACAGTGGACCATAGTTGTAGGACACGCAGTTTGGTTCAAGATAGCATCTCAATTCACAAATATCCTTGTCTGGAAGTTGATCTCTCCCAATGACGTGATTTGTTAAGATCTTATTTTTGTTCCTTCTTTGAATTCAATCACTCGACAATCATCTGAGGGAGGAAGAAGGAATAAAGAAACCAATGAGAAATATAATCAGCTATGTCAAAAAAGCATAAACAGGTGGCAAACCTTTCCATATTACGGGTAGTAATTCAGTCAAGTTGTCTTCATCGCGAAAGCCTTTTGTACGGCATTTACATTTCCAAAAAGTTAATTTCTTTCGACCTTTTTTCTTTTACGAGAGATGGTCAAAACTAATACTCTTTTACTCACAATACGTGAGGGTTGATGTCAAACAATTATATTGTGAATAGAGTAAACAATATATTCCAGGGGACAATCACTCTTAGAAAGGCTACAAAGGTAAATGCCGCCGAAATACAATGATCTTGGATGGCTTGTGGTACTCAAGGGAACCAACAATGGTTAATATCTTCTGTTTTTCACAATTTCGTTTTTGTGGAAGTTAACTCTGAAAGGTGATTTAGTTCGCACAGGACATAGCAAATATGGAGGGCTGACAAAATCATATCCTGAAAACGTAAATAATTAAGAGCCATACCTCCCATGCTACTTAATCCGCACTGGTTATTTGCAGAAAAACAGTCCAGACATGTAAAAAGAGTGAAGAGTAGGTAATATTCCATTTTCTCCATTATTTTTCCTGTTTGAAAAGTTAAGAAATATTTAGGTAATTTTTAGTGAATCGAGGGAACGTAAGACGTATTTTGTACCACTCAGCGGTGTACTTTCGCATTAAATTAAACTTGTGAGAAAACATATCGAGCTATTTTCAACATCATCTCTTTTTTTAATGAATTGCAACTCTGCTTAACTTTAGTTCATTTGTTCCAATAACATTTGTATGTTATAAGTCTAAAAGAAATATACCTCTCTACATTTTTCTCATAATATTTCGGCCATAGTTGTTACATTCCATATCATACTTTCGCCTGTTCGATTGTTTTTTTCCTAAATACACTATGAACTAAACATTTCCATTTCAATTCACCCTCAATAAAACTGTCAAAAGGAACCATTCCTACCTTTCAAGCAGAAATTCAATTTCAAATCTTTGGAGCGTTTTTGATGCGGAACACTTGAAGAATTGTTTTTATAATGAAATATCGGTGGACGCACATCAGCTATAGTTAGATGATAAGCGAGTCAAACGAACACTCTCGGGAGGGAAGAAATCTCCTCAGCAAAAAATTTACTTAAATTTAGGCTTAAGCCGCTGCTTGATGGCAAACTTTAAATAATGACACTCGGCCTTTTATATCAATATCATAATTGTGCATGAATAATACCAGAAGGTGGGTAACAAATTCAGAACAAGCCTTCTGTAAACTTGAAACTTAGCCAACGCAAATTACTTCGGTCTTCCACTGGGAGTTCAATTTCTCCTTATGAATAATGAAAATAATGGAAAAAAATTCTTACCTTTTAAGAGGAAATATATTTTATGTATTCTTGGGAAAAAGTACACCTTCGGAGAGGGATGTACAATTTCATTCTGTACTAACCTATTACAGCTACCAGTGTGGTGCAAACAGGAAGTTGGAAAAAAAAAAAAAAAATACAAAGATGAAATTCAGTAATTTGGTCTTATTTAAGACTCAAACTCAAGTGATTGACACTATCATTGAAGTTTCTGTTTGGTACTAAACACTTCGAGACGCCCCTCCTTTAGAGACGAAATTCTAACTTAAAACATAAATTCAATTCATTTTGTAATTGATGTCTTCCTTATCTTTGCCTTCCTTGCTGCTTTAGGTCCCTTATAAGATTATTTTATGAGTTATGATTATTTTATGAGAAGGATGAAAACACTAAGAAAACTGAGATCGATGGATACCTGTTTAACCCTCAATCGAATTTTTTCCTTTCTTTTAATAAGCTCTAAAACGTTTGCAAAAAAAATTTACAACAAAACGGCGAACTCATGAAAACAAAATTTTTTCAATAACAGACGTTTTCCTTGTTAATGAGTATTGACACCATGTAAACAATACAATTTACCGAAATGAATAAATTAAGAAAGATGTTTTGGTAAAAAACGGACATAAGGTAGAAATTCACTTTCACTTTCCCCCGATATGAAAATTCGAACTTTTTGCCGTGGAATAGAATAAATAGAATAAATACGAACCGACGCTATTTATTTTATTCCGTGCAATGACTGTGGTCACGAGTATATCGGACAGACCAAACGTCAGTTTGGTACACGTTTGAAAAAACATCAAAAAGTGGTCTTCTTTTGCGAAAAAGAAAATTCAGCTTTGTCGAAGCACACATGCCTAAACAACCATACAATTGGGTGGGATAAGTTTACAATTATCATCACTAATCGACGTTACCACCAGCGCCTTTGTTTGGAAGCCTGGCATATCAACTCCGCCCACGCTCTTTTAAATCGTGATGATGGCGGCTTACTTCCTGACGCCTATTTACACCTCGTCATAGTGTAGAGGATTAACAACATATCGCCTGGTAAAATCATATACTACTGTTACCGACGTAACCTACTTAAAACTGACAAACTGGATTACAGGAAACGACCATTGAACATATTTAATTTTGCTTAAATTATCCGTTAATTATCCGAGTTGTCTTCCGCAGACGATTTAAAGCTACCTTTTCTATTTTTCCTTTTCAGTGTCGGTATTAAATCATCCATAAAGGCCGGAGCTGACCAAGACACGTCCACAGTCACTGCATGCCCAGCCCATTCTCTCAGGGACAATTGTCTTGGTTTGTGATGCATTCGTAAAGCTCTGTTCATGAATCAATTAAGTTAGAAATAAACAAATTAAATAGAAGGAACAAGACAAAGCATAAAAACGAAAACAAGAAAAGATTAAAAATTTTACGCAAATGAGGTAGTTTCTGCTTCATCCATGTGTTCCTTACGATCATATTCCTCTCTTTCCTTCAGCCTACTCCGGTTTCTGTCAATCACTCAACATGTCCTTCAGTCTTTCTCTGTCTGTTTCTTATTCTATCGTAACTGTTTTTCCAAGTAAATAAAAATCTCACCTTGGCAAGTTATACCATCGCCGGTAAATTTAGGTTTACACATACACTGATATGAACCCACCATATTGGCGCATTCCCCGTTAGACGAACAACTGTGTTTTTGCAGAGCACATTCGTCAATATCTGCAAAAAGATCAATGCGAAAAAATAAAGATAACAAAATTTAATTGCTGTTGCGGTTAGTTGGTTTCTAAATCATTCATGCTTCAACCATTTTCTACCTTTGAGCAAGGTGTGTCGCTTGAGTAGGACATTTTGTGCTGATTCCCTATTCTTTACAATCAGTCGGTACCCTTGTTATTGCATGCCTGTTAGCTTTTCTAGTTAAAAACATGCCTTGGCATGTTTTACCAACACCTGTAAATCCAGGTTTACATGTGCATCCGTGTGAACCCATAACATTAAGAAAGTTGCCATCACAGGAATAATCGTCTTTGGCTAAGGCGCATTCGTCAAAATCTATTCAAGATCCACGAAAACGAAAGAAGTATGAAATTCCGTATAATCTAATTAATCCTTTCTCTTCCGAAAGCCCGTCTCCCTCTGTATTCAAATCTCCCGGTCAGGTCCTCCAGAATTATATCTAATTGATCTCAGCACGAAACTTACAACATTATTCGTTTAGTTTCTGTTCTTGCCCTAATATCAGTTATCCAGAATTTACAATATCACAAAAATATTTCATTAATTTTGTACTGTCTCAAAGCATCCATTATTCATTTATTTTCTCATCTCGCTCAATGATCCATTTTTCAGGGTTTGCTGCGTCACGACAATGTTCCATTGATATCATTCCTCATCAAGAGAACATCAAGAGAGTATCAATTGAATATCAACAGTTGATATTCTCTTGCTCCTCATATCATCTTGGATGAGATCATTCATTTAATAAGATTACATTTAACTTTATTTGCTCCAACTTAGGGGATTTTAATTCCTTTGACAACTTTTAACGTTCCTCGTGAGATCAGATGTGGAACAATTCTCACTGTACTTGCTCCTTGCCATGTTATCGGAGGGTCGAATTTCACTGATGTAAAGGCTTACCTTGGCAGTTTTTCCCATCTTTAGTAAATCCATGCCTACATGTGCACTGATATGACCCCACAACGTTAGTGCAGTCGCCGTAAAAGGAACAATCGTCATTATTTATGATACATTCGTAAAGATCTATCCATACAACGAAGCACAGGATATATAAAAGTTAATAAAATATAAAAAGAATAAAAAATGTAATACATTGGAGGTGGTATCTGCTGTATCCGTGATAGTCCGCCACCTTTTCGTCTACTCAGTTCTTTCTCACGAAGCTCCTTTTGTTTTCTCTCTCTCTCTCTCTCTCTCTCTCTCTCTCTCTCTCTCAGGCCTGTTTCAGTGTTCGTCAATCTCGCTACATGTCCATCAGGACCAGTTTTTTAAAGGACAGATAAAGGGCATTGCTATACAACGGATAAATCGTTATCCAGACGATAAGTAATAACGAAACCTACTGCGCTGCACGTCGGATAGCAGTTTATCCAGTAGATAGTGTTATCATCCCTTTAAAAAAACCAGGCTGAACGTCTCTGTCTGTGTCTCCCTCTATCGTTACTGTTTGTCTAATTGAATAAGAATCATAAGGGGCTACAAGGCAAGCCATAGCCATGTGAACAGCTCGTCTCCAATACACAACTATTTTTTTTTAATTGGCCATCTCGAATCTATGGATTGAAAAATGGTAAAGTACTTCCAAATATTCGATTTTTTTAAATTCACTTTTGGCAATTCTACCATTCAAATAGCGCGTATACCATTCAAAATGAAAATTACTCAGAATTACTAGAACTGAACAAAATGCGAGCTCGAAAGAGACCGACAAACATGTGGAATTTATTCAATCCGTCTTCTGTTATCATTCCCAAATAACAGCCGTGACTGAAATTAATTGGAACTTGGTTACATATCACATGATATGATAAATTTATCACATGATGATAAATTTAAGAAGGTCTGTTAATTTTTAAAATGTTAAATGAATTTTTCTCGGCCCCTTCTTTTACTTGAAACCACACTGATTAAATGTATTTGACACTTCTCTTCCAAGCTAATGCTAAAATCTAACTACTTTGATATGAGAACGTTATATCTGGTATTGTTCAGGTCTCAACTTTCTAAATAATAATTATAGCAACCGCTGTAGAAAAGGTTTCTGAAATACTGCAGATGGAACTTCGCTCGGCGAAAGGCACCAAGGATCCTCCATCCGTCCTTTTCAATCTTCTTTGATATATGTTCTCTTATACAATTATATTTACAGAAAATTCATCCCTCTTGAGTTAACTCGTTATAACTCAGACTGACTGATAAACTCTGATTGTCTCTCTGATCGACTCTAATTTACTTTGAGTTAATCTGGTGGGCTGACTTCTAACTTAATAGTACGCGCTTTACATTCACTTTCGGTAGGCATGAGTAGGCATGCTGGCCAAATGATCTTCGAAGATTACGCTCTAGCCTTCAAAACAGCAACACACGCCTATTTTCACCCTCTCCCCCATGACATTTTAATAATCTTTCAGGCGTACTTTTTCTTCTCTCAATTTGACTCTAACTTGATCTTTTTAAATCAAATTAAAACTTTGATCTCCATAAATAAACTTTCGACCTTCCAAATCTCAGATTTAGTTCAATGCTGAATTTCAGTTTAAAGGGTACAAAGCATAAACGTCCGCACATGTCTCACCATCGTTATTATACTCGGTAGAACCAACCAGGTCATGCGCATACCAAATTTGGAACTGTTGGCCAACAGATACAACCAAGGGCATGGGGAGAAAATTAAACACAAGCATGGGAGAGTTGACATCAGCACCATCAAGTTGGTAAGTATACAGTTTGTTTTCGGTGTTACTTTTCACGAACTCAGCAAGTGGAAGAACAGTTTTGTTGCTGTATGTTATCACTGTCATCAGGTTATAATTTCCGTATTCTGGCCGTAAGCATCCCCATTTGGTCGGTGAGCGATTAGTGTCGCATGTAACGGAGCCACTTGTATGTACGAGTTTGAAAGTGTAGACTTGACCGGCTTCTCGGATATCAAAAGTTCCGTGGTCGTCATTTTTTGTCCCAAAACAGACAGGATCGATGTTGACCTTTTCCCAGTTATCTGTTAAAAAGTTTGCCAGGTTTCAAATAAAGCCTCAGGTTTTCGTGTCTTGGAAATGGTAACGCAAATAAATTGATTTATTTGAGGAAAGTAATTAAAGAATAACTGTGGTTATGTTCAAACCACACTATTCACTCACATTTGTTTGTGTTTTGGGTTAAAGATCAAGATATACCTGAGCAAAAGTGCCGTCCATCTCCAAGGTGTCCAGACCGACAGCTGCAGTCGAATGATCCAGCGGTGTTTGTACAATCGGCCGCAAAGTAACAGTCATGGCTTCCATCGTTACACTCATCGATATCTAAGTAGAAATGGAATATGAGACTAATCAAGATGTAGGGAAATTATCAGAAGAGGTGGGGTTGTTTTTTTGGCGTTTCCCAGAATCTACTGAAAAGTGTAATGTGTTGAGGTCGCGGATTCACAGGTTTGCCAGAAGTTCGGCATCATTCTGTGTGCAATTTTGCTGACTATGATGTGGAGGCAGTCTTCTCAGATACATAAACATGTAAAGACTTACCATTTTTTAGCAGTAATTTTAAGAACAATTGACCCTGCGAATTGCATCAGTTATTTCTGTCTTACAAGACTGATGAAGAGAGTAATCGATAGCTTTGCACTTTTATATAAAATAAATGTTACCTTGGCAAATTTTACCATCGCCAGTAAATCCAGATTCGCAAAAGCACTGATATGAACCCACGACATTAACACAGTCGCCGTCAGAGGAACAATCGTGTTTGCTTGATGTACACTCATCAATATCTACACACGAGTTACAAGAGACGGAGAAGTTAGACGTATGAGCCCATAACATTAACACAACTGCCATCAGAGGAACACTTCACCTTGCCTTAGACACATTCGTCAATATCTATTCAAGATTAAAGGAAGATGAAAAAAAACATATTCCTTATTTTGAAATAGATCTTTTTCATCTAAAGTTCATCTCCATGGTATTAATCAATTATTTCTGTCAGTTATTCCAAAATTCCACTGAACTATTTGCTTTCAGCACGAAACTTATACTTTTATTCGTTTCATTTCTGTTCTTGCCCTTGCATCAAATATCCATAGTTGACAACATGAAGGCAGTTTTCCCTTCGTATCACCCTTTCTTATTCTGATATTCTCTTTCTTTCTCGTTTTTCTGTAATCTCCATTATCTAGGATTTATCACATCACGACAGCAATACTTTAATATCACCTCTCGGTTAATGCTGCAGAAGAACATCTTATAACGACGTCTACAGTTGTCTCAACCTTGGGGTTTCAATCCTTCTAACAACCTCTAGCATTTAAGGGAGCACATACAGAACAAATCTAACTTGCCCCTTACCCTGTGACGGAGATATCCTTTAATGCAGATATTAAGGCTGTATTGATTAAACAGATGAGGATTCAAAACTCTCCTTGCTGAGAGGCTACTTTATTTGCAGCTTTATTGTGTAACTTTAACTATGAACCTGGGAGATGAAGACCTGCCGTGACGAGGAGTTTCCTTTCTCACCTATTTGGCAAAGCTCTCCTTCATATCCGTCAGAACAAATACAGCGGTAACCATGACTACCAAACCCCGCTTGACAAGTAGAGTGACTAACACACGGATTGCTCTCACAGGAATTCTAAAATGCAAAAGATGAATCAAGTAATTAGATAGATAAAGCTTAGATAAGGAAATAAATAGACTGAGTATTTAGAGAGATAAATAATAAAGTGGTAAACAATTAACGAGGAGGATCAACTTGAAACAGAGGTTTCTCGTTCGCGGAACGATCATCCTGGTAAAACTGATATTGTTATTTACTTACAATGATTGCTCTGTATAAAAAGTCGTTCCTATATTCGAAGTAACTGGGAGAGACTTGCAAATGAGTTCTGTTACTTAGCTGGCATGTGAATGTTCCATCTCCCAGCGGACCATAGTTATAGGACACACAGTTTGGTTCAAAGTAGCATTTCAACTCGCAGATATCCTTGTCCTTTGCTTGTTCACTTCTAATGACGTGTTTTGTTAAGATCTTGTTTTTCGTTCCTGCTTTGAACTGAATCACTCGGCAATCATCTAAGGGTTTGGCAAGAAATAAATAAGCCAATGAAGAAGCCAATGAGAAATGAAATCAAACAGCACACAAACTTAAAGGAAGCCGACAACCTAAGTTTTATCGCAATATTGGTTTAAAGTTGTTCCATAAATGCCAGGGAAACTACATAATTAACTCTTGATTTGCCGCTCGACCAAAAAAAAAAAAAAAAACCACGAATATTTGCTACGCTCTTTCATCCTCGAAAGAAAGGCAGGTGATAAGCCTTTCCTCTCTATTCGTTATGTGAGTGACTTAGCTAAATAGCCTGCAAACTTGAATTATCCATGCATCATATTCACCTTACCAGAAAAGTTGCTTTTTCGGACCATAATTTTTTTATTTACCCATTACATTGAAGAATAAGATTGATGTTCGCCATTATAATTCTAAATAGGATCTGGTTTTAAAATGAGGGGGTGGGTTTCTAGGGAAACTGTGACGCTGCCTCGGTGGGGGGTAGAACTCAATAACCGTTAGCGCTTCGCTTTGGAACGTCAGCTTTAGAAATTCTTCACGATAGCAAATCATACTATTACTCCTTCAGCTTTCAAGGTCTTCATCAGTGTCTCTTTCCGTTCCATTTATTAGGTAATAATCGGACATCAGCAACTCAAATATTGTGGACAAATCATATATATAGACCAATGTCGCCTTCAATCCGCAATAATTTTACCAACAGATCTTCTCTCCACGTCCACGTTTCATTTACGCCCAACTAAGATCACGGCATTGTAAACCGGGCAGTTTTGCAATAACGTGCTATCGTGCAATATCCCATTTCTGCCATTTTTACTTGAGAATTCGAAATTTTACATCATCACTCAGAATAGTTTTAAAGTTAACTTAATGAGTTTTCTCTTTTCACACACTTACTTTCTTCTTCCTTTTGTACCATTAACACAAGGATATGAATCTGATCAGGAATAAAACAGTTATAATGGATGAAAGTGTCAGCGATGCAAGCTTTTGGCAGGAGTCACTTACCTCCATACACCAGTACACCAAAACGAAAAATCCATAGAAAAGTTAGGACCTTACTCGTTGAAGGATCACCAATGGCTGGTGAGAACAGTATCATATTGTCATTAGTGAAAACACCTTTCAGCTAGCTATAGCGAGCTAAATGAAACGCGCTGGTCTCTCTTGTAAATGCAACGAGACCTTATATTTCAACACTCAAAACAATACAGCGAATTGCAGAATCATAAAAGAGAAAAGTAATTATTAATGTAAGCGGCAGATGTGTGACCAGCACGCTTCGCAGTTATAGGATTTTATTTTTTAACATTTGCGAGTACGTCACTTGAATAATCACATGGCTTAACTTAATTTGAAAACAAAACATCGAGTCTTAAGAAGTACAGGAAAACTGTAGGAGAAAAAAAATAACTTAAATGCGTGATGTTAGCCTTTGTAAATAACTAATTAACCGTTTGCCGAAGATTGCCTAACGCAAGACGTTTTTCAGTGTCCCCACTTTGATGTATGCGTTAAATGAAGTTGAATTTTAATTTATTGAAGGATCAAAATAAAAAATAAAAAAGGTTGGACCGCTTCAAAAAGCTCCACGACAAAGACGTGCGAGAAAGCATGCACATTTATTTTAATTTAAGGAAATACTTGAAACAGAGAACATGCTGAACAGTGATAGATTTATTTTTGTGGAAATGAAATTGAAAAGACCATCAACACTTTTTTAAGCTAAAATATTTCAAGTGATAATTAATTAAAAAAGAATTCTTCAACGATAAGATGAAAGCTTAAGGAAATACTTGAAACAGAGAACATACTGAACAGCGATAGATTTAATTTTGTGGAAATGAAAATTGAAAAGACCATCAACACTTTTTTAAGCTAAGATATTTCAAGTGATAAACCCAAACTTGAACACCTATGCCTCTAAATAACCAAATTCAAATAAGAAGGAGGGTAAAATTGAATATAATTAAAGTGAATCCGCTTGATATCAATCACATTGAAAATTCTCAATGTAGATTAGGTTGATGATACGCTTACATGGCTCAAGTTTGCACCTGACGTTTTGTTTACCTCAAAGAGTACTAATTTTTTTTTTTCTCATCTTAACTCAAATATATCGCCTTGGTGTCATGAAAGAGACTGGTGTCCTCCCTCGTTAAAAGCGAAAAAAAAAAAATACCACAAAAGCAAAGGAAACAATTGTATTGGCAATATATTACAAGGACACCCCGTCGACACTGCTTTAAAGCTGAAATTAAATGTGCCAGCCGCCCACAAAAAAAAGCAGTGTCTTTGGTTACCAAAATTATTCAGGGCTAATATTTGTAGGATGGTTAAACGGTTTAATAATCGTTTCTGTCACAAACGTACCGCCATTCCGTCTTGTATCTTTAAGAGGCAACAAACGCATATTGCAGCTACCGTAGGACACTTTTCTTAACTGTTTAAACCAACGGGTACCCTAATCAGCTCTTACTGCCAATCAAAATTTCCGTAAGTTCAGTTATTTATTTACTGAAGATAAAATTAAATACAAGCTATTCAAAGTGCGATTTCTGGACTCAAACCACTGTAAAGATGATGAAAAAAAACAGAAACAAGGCATAAAATGAAACTCGACAGCTTTAAATTTAAGCTGTCTTAAAGAAGAGCTGATAAAAGAGATTGTCATTTGTTGAAGTTTTTTTATGAGCTCTGGGGCGCTAAAGTTTATTTTCAATTCATTTTCATTGAAAGAAAGCAAATTCATAAGCATCAGCCGCAGGGAAAATAACTGTTGTGAAATATTTAACAATAATGCCGTAAGCGCGCGTTGAATGTAAGCTGGTGAATAGCTAAGGAGGCACTTCATTACTACACTAGGTAATATTATAGCAAATCTCGACTCTTAGTATTGCTTTTTTTCTGTTTTTTCTTTTCGTCATTACATACTTGCATTTCTACATGAAATTATCTATTACGTTTCCATATCGATGTCGAAGCTTGCTGAATTTGTCAATATAGGGACCCTGTAACCAATCAGCTTACTTATCGTACCAACTGAACGGACCATTTATTAAGGACCTGGTGATTGAAGCCATATCACATCTACCGTGCCTTCTTTATGAACTAAATATCACCCGCTCTCTGATTGTTTGCCGGCTGTGATTCAGCAAAGTGCCGACGTACGACCGAAGTCATTTGTAGTTGCCACAACCGTTTAACCATGTAAATGGTACAGAGCATAAACGTCCGCGCATGTCTTACCATCGTTATTATACTCAGTATAATTAACCAAGTCATGCGCATACCATAATTGGAACTGCTGACCAACCGATACAACCAGTGGGGTGGGGAGGAGCTTAAACGCTAGTGTTGTGGAATTGAAATCGGCACCGTCAAGTTGGTAAGTATAATATGTGCTGTCATTGCCTTTCAAGAACTCAGCAAGCGGGAGAACTGTTTTGTTGCTGTTAGTTATCACCGTCATTAGGTTGTGATTTCCGTAAATTGGCAATGAGCATCCCCACTTTGTTGATATTGCTAAAATGGATACGCATGTCACGGAGCCGCTTGTATGGACAAGTTTAAATGCGTAGATTTGACCGGCTTCTTGGATATGAAAAGTTCCGTGGTCATCATCTTTTGTCCCAAAGCAGACAGGATCGATGTTGACCTTTTTCCAGTTATCTGTTAAAATGTTTGTCAAGTTTCAAAGAAAGCCTTAGGTTTTCGCGTCTTAGAAACGGTAACGCAAAATAAATTGATTTTTTTTGAGGAAAGTAATTAAAGAAATAACTTTGGTTATGTTCAAACCACTCTACTCACTCACATTTGTTTGTTTTGAGTTAAAGATCAAGATATACCTGAGCAAAAGTGCCGTCCATCTCCAAGGTGTCCAGACTGACAGCTACAGTCGAATGATCCAGCAGTGTTTGTACAATCGGCCGCAAAGTGACAGTCATGGCTTCCATCGTTACACTCATCGATATCTAAGTAGAAATGGAATATGAGACTAATCAAGGTGTAGGGAAATTATCAGAAGAGGTGGGGTTGTTTTTTTGGCGTTTCCCAGAATCTACTGAAAAGTGTAACGTGCTGAGATTGTGAATTCACGGGTTTGCCAGAAGTTCGGCATCGTTCTGTATATTTTAAATATGCTTAAAAAAGCAATTTTGCTGATTATGATGTGGAGGCAGCCTTCTCTGTTACATTAACATGTAAAACCCTTTTTTAGCAGTAATTTTAAGGACAATTGACCCTGCGAATCACATCAGTTATTTCTGTCTTGCAAGACTGGTGAAGAGGGTAATCAATAGCTTTGCACTTTTATATAAAATAAATGTTACCTTGGCAAATTTTACCATCGCCAGTAAATCCAGGCTTGCAAGAGCACTGATAGGAACCCACGACATTAACACAGTCGCCGTCAGAGGAACAATCGTGTTTACTCGATGTACACTCATCAGTATCTACACACGAGTTACAAGAGACGGAGAAGTAAGATGTATAAGCCCATAACATTAACACAACTGCCATCAGAGGAACACTTCACCTTGCCTTAGACACATTCGTCAATATCTATTTAAGATTAAAAGAAGATGAAAAAAAACATATTCCTTATTTTGAAATAGATCTTTTCATCTAAAGTGCATCTCCATCGTATTAATCAATTATTTCTGTCAGTTTTTCCCAATTTCAGCTATTGGCTTTCAGCACGAAACTTATACTTTTATTTGTTTCATTTCTGTTCTTGCCCTTACATCAAATATCTACAATTGACAACATGAGGCAGTTTTCCCTTCATATCACCCATTCCTATTCCGATATTCTCTTACTTTCTCGTTTTTCTTTAAGATCTATTATCTATGATTTATCACATCACGACAGCAATACTTTGATATCACCTCTCGGTTATTGCTGCAGAAGAAAATCTTATAACGACGTCTCCAGTTGTCGCAACTCTGGAGTTTCAATCCTTCTGACAACGTCTAGCATTTGAGAGAGTACATACTGAACAAATCTAACTTGCCCCTTGCCTTATAGAGGAGATATCCTTTGATGCAGATATTAAGGCTGTATTGATTAAACAGATGAGGATTCAAAACTTTCCTTGCTGAGAGGCTACTTTACTTGCAGCTTTATTGCGTGACTTTAACTATGAACCTGGGAGATAAAGACCTGCTACCGCGAGAGTTTCCTTTCTCACCTCTTTGGCAAAGCTCTCCTTCATATCCGTCAGAACAAATACAGCGGTAACCATGACTACCAAACCCCGCCTGACATGTAGAGTTACTAACACACGGATTGCTCTCACAGGAATTCTAAAATGCAAAAGATGAATCAAGTAATTAGATAGATAAAGCTTAGATGAGTAATTAAATAAATTGAATATTTAGAGGGATAAATAATAAAGTGGGTAAATAAATAAACGAGGCGGATCAACTTGAAACAGAGGTTTCTCGCTCGCGGAACGATCACCCTGGTAAAATTGATATTGTTATTTACTTACAATGATTGATCTGTATAAAGAGCCGTTCCTATATTCGAAGTAACTGGGAGAGACTTGCAAATGAGTTCTGTTGCTTAGCTGGCATGTGAATGTTCCATCTCCCAGTGGACCATAGTTATAGGACACACAGTTTGGTTCAAAGTAGCATTTAAACCCGCAGATATTCTTGTCCTTTGTTTGTTCACTTCTTATGACGTGTTTTGTTAAGATCTTGTTTTTCGTTCCTGCTTTGAACTGAATCACTCGGCAATCATCTAAAGTTTTGGCAAGAAATGAAGAATTCAATGAGAAAATGAAATCAAACGGCACACAAACTTAAAGGAAGCCGACAACCTAAGTTTTATCGCAATATTTGTTGAAAGTTGTTCCATGAATGCCAGAAAAACTACATAATTAACTCTTGATTTGCCGCTCGACGAAAAAAAAAAAAACACGGATATTTGCTATGCTCTTTCATCCTCGAAAGAAAGGCAGGTGATAAGCCTTTCCTCTGTTTTCTTTAGTTGACTGACTAAGCTGAATAGCCTGACACTTGAATTCAAGGTATCATATTCATCTTAACAGAAAAGTTGCTTTTTCGGAGAATAATTTTTTCATTTACCCATGACATTTAAGAACAAGATTGATGTTCACCACTGTGATTTTAATTAGGATCTGGTTTTCAAATGAGGGGGTAGGTTTCTAAGGAAACTGTAACGCTGCATCAGTGGGGGTATAATTCAATAACCGTTAGCGCTTCGCTCTGGAACGTCAGCTTTAGAAAAATTATTTACGATAGCAAGTCTATATTATTACTCCTTTAGCTTTCAAGGTCTTCATCAGTGTCTTTTTCCGTTCCATTTATTATATATAATAATCGGACATCAGCAACTCAAAAACTGTGGACAAATCACATATAGACCAATGTCGCCTTGAATCAGCAATAATTTTACCAACAGATCTTCTCTCCACGTCCACGTTTCCTTCAAGCCCAACTAAGATCACGGCATTGTAAACAGGGTAGTTTTGCAATAACGTGCTATCGTGCAATATCCCATTTCTGCCATATTTACTTTAAGAATTCGAAATTTCACATCATTACCATGAATAGATCTAAAGTTAACTTAATGAGTTTTCTCTTTTCACACACTTACTTTTTTTTGTACCATAACACAAGGATATGAATCTGATCACGAATACAACAGTGATAATAGATTAAAGTGTCAGCGATGCCAGCTTTTGGCAGGAGTCACTTACCTCCATACACCAGTACACCAAAACGAAAAATCCATAGAAAAGTTAGGACCTTACTCATTGAAGGATCACTAACGGCAGGTGAGAGCAGTACCATATTGTCCTTAGTGAGAACACCCTTCAGCTAGCTCTAGCGAGCTGAATGAAACGCTGGTCTCTCTTGTAAATGCAACCAGACATAATATTTCAACACTCAAAATAATACAGCGAATTGCAGAATCATAAAAGAGGAAAGTAATTATTAATGTAAGCGGCAGATGTGAGATCAGCACCCTTCGAAGTTATAGAATTTTATTTTTTAACATTTACGAATACGTCACTTGAACATTCACATGGCCAAACTTAATTTGAAAACAAAACATTGAGTCTTAAGAATTACAGAAAAACTGTAAGAGAAAAAAATAACTTCAATGCGTGATGTTAGCCTTTGTAAATAACTAATTAACCGTTTGCCGAAGATTGCCTAACGCAAGAGGTTTTTCAGTGTTACCAATTAAATGTTTGCATTAAATGAAATTGAAAATCTGTCGAGTGCGTTCAACGGCAAATCAATTTATTGAAGGATCACTATACTAAAAGGTTGGACCGCTTCAAAAAGCTCCAAGACAAAGACGTGCGAGGAGGCATGCTTATTTATTTTAATTAAGTAGGAATAGTTCAACGATTCGATGAAAGCTTAAGGAAATACTTGAAACACAGAACATGCTGAATAGCCATAGATTAATTTTGTGGAAATGAAAACTGAAAAAAACCATCAACACTTTTTTAAGCTAAAATATTTCAAGTGATAAACCCAAACTTGAACACCTGTGTCTCTAAATAACCAAATTCAAGTAAGAAGGAGGGTAAAATTGAATACAATTAAAGTGAATCCACTTGATATCAATCACATAGAAAATTCTCAATGTGGATTGGGTTGGTGATACACTTACATGGGTCAAGTTTGCACCTGACGTTTGTTTACCTTAAGATTAATCATTTTTTTTCTCATCTTAACTCAAATATATCGCCTTGGTGTCATAAAAGAGGCTGATGTCCTGCCTTGTAAAAAAGGAACAAAAAAAAAAGATGAAATACCACAATGCCAAAGGAAACAACTGAATTGACAATATATCACAAGGACACCCCGTCGACATTGCTTTAAAGTGAAATTTAAATGCGCCGGCCACCCACAAAAAAAGTAGTGTTTTTGGATACCGAAATTATTCAGGGCTAATTTTTGTTGGATAGTTAAACGGTTTAACAATCGTTTCTGTCAAGAACGTACCGCCATCCCGTCACGTATCTTCAAGACGCGACAAACGCATATAACAACTACCGTAGGACACTTTTCTTAACTTTTAAAACCAACGGGGGTACCCCAATCACCTCTTATTGCCAATCAAAATTTCTGTAAGTTCAGTTGTTTATTTACTGAAGATAAAATTAAATACAAGCTATTCAAAATGCGATTCCTGGACTCAAATCCATTCTAAAGATGATGAAAAACAGAAACACGGCATAAAATGAAACTCGACAGTTTTAAATTTGAGCTATCTTAAAGAAAAGCTGATATAAGAGATTGTCATTTATTGAAGTTTTGAAGAGCTCCGGGAAGCTAAAGTCTATTTTCAAAACATTTTCATTGAAAGAAAGCAAATTAATAAGCATCAGCCGCCGGGAAAGTAATTGTTGGGAAATATTTAACAATAATGCAGTAGGCGCGCGTTGAATGTGAGCTGGTGAATAGCTAAGGAGGCACTTCATTACTACACTAGGTAATATTATGGCAAATCTCGACTCTTAATATTTTTTTTTTCTTTTTTTTCGTTATTACATACTTGCATTATTACATGAAATTATCTACTACGTTTCCATATCGATGTCGAAGCTCGCTGCATTTGTCAATATAGGGACCCTACAACCAATCAGCTTACTTATCGTACCAACTGAACGGACCATTCATTAAGGACCTAGTGACTGAAGCCATATCACATCTACCGTGCCTTCTTTATGAACTAAATAACAGCCACTCTCCAACTGTTTGCCGGCTGTGATTCAGCAAAGTGCAGACGTACGGCTGAAGTCACCTGTAGTTGCCGCAACCGTTTAACCGTGTCAATGGTAAAGAGCATAAACGTCTGCGCATGTCTTACCACCGTTATTATACTCAGTATAATCAACCAAGTCATGCGCATACCATAATTGGAACTGCTGACCGACCAATACAACCAGTGGGGTGGGGAGGATTTTAAACGCTAGTGTTGTGGAGTTGAAATCGGCACCGTCGAGTTGGTAAGTATAGTATGTGTTGTCGTTGCCTTTCAAGAACTCAGCAAGCGGAAGAACTGTTTTGTTACTGTAAGTTATCACCGTCATTAGGTTGTGATTTCTGTAACTTGGAGATGAGCATCCCCACTTTGTTGAAGTGGTGCATGTCACGGAACCACTTGTATGGACAAGTTTAAATGTGTAGATTTGACCGGCTTCTTGGATATAAAAAGTTCCGTGGTCGTCATTTTTTGTCCCAAAACAGACAGGATCGAGGTTGACCTTTTTCCAGTTATCTGTTAAATAGTTTGTCAGGTTTCAAAAGCCTTAGGTTTTCGCGTCTTAGAAATGGTAACGCAAAATAAATTGATTTGTTGGAGGAAAGTAATTCAAAAATAACTGTGGTTATGTTCAAACCACACTACTCACTCACATTTGTTTGTGTTTTGGGTTAAAGATCAAGATATACCTGAGCAAAAGTGCCGTCCATCTCCAAGGTGTCCAGACTGACAGCTGCAGTCGAATGATCCAGCGGTGTTTGTACAATCGGTGCAAAGTGACAGTCATGGCTTCCATCGCTACAGTCATCGATATCTAAGTAGTAATTTAATATAAGACTAATCAAGGTGTAGGGAAATTATCAGAAGAGGTGGGGTTGTTTTATTTGGCGTTTCCCAGAGTCTACTGAAAAGTGTAACGTGCTGGGGTCGTAAATTCACAGGTTTGCCAGAAGTTCGGCATCGTTCTGTATATTTTAGATATGCTTAAAAAAGCAATTTTGCTAACTATGATGTGGAGGCAGCTTTCTCCGTTACATTAACATGTAAAGACTGACCTGTTTTAGCAGTAATTTCAACTGACCCTGCGAATCACATCAGTTATCTCTGTCTTGCAAGACTGGTGAAGAGGGTAATCAATAGCTTTGCACTTTTATATAAAATAAATGTTACCTTGGCAAATTTTACCATCGCCAGTAAATCCAGGCTTGCAAGAGCACTGATAGGAACCCATCACATTAACACAGTCCCTGTCAAAGGAACAATCGTGTTTCCTCGATGTACACTCATCAGTATCTACACACGAGTTACAAAAGATGGAAAAGTAAGACGTATGAGCCCATAACATTAACACAACTGCCATCAGAGGAATACTTCTCCTTGCCTAAGATGCATTCGTCAATATCTATTTAAGATTAAAGGAATATGAAAAAAACCATAATATTCCTTATTTTGAAATAGATCTTTTTTCATCTAAAGTGCACCTCCATCGTATTAATCAATTATTTCTGTCAGTTTTTCCAAAATTTCAACTATTTGCTTTCAGCACTAATAATATACATGATTGGTTATGATAAATGCAGTTTTCAGGTAATTCAGTGCAGAAGAGAGTTAATTCAGTGCAGAAGAGGGTTAATTCAGTGAAAAGAAAGTGACAACTCAGACATTCTGATTGGTCAATAATCAAAGAAATTCACAGATAGCCAATCAAATGCGTGCCTTGGATGTCGCAACAAAACTTGAAAATTTGCGAGCGAAACAATGGCCGGCGTTTTAAGTAGGTTTTCTTTCGCCACCGCGGCTGAAAAACAGCTCAAACAACGAAAACACTGTAAAAAGCACTGCTTTTTGGTTGTCGGTTTGGCAAAAGTGGTGTTTAGAGAAGGGAATTGCCAAGGAAATCGAAAATTACGAGCCGACCCAGCTTAACATTTTGCTCGAGCGATCCAAAGTCGAAATTAAAAATAAACATGGTTAAACCTCGGAAACGATGATTCCATTTCATGGAAAGTGATTCCGACACAGACTGAACACTTCCTTGAACTGTTTAGCCGGACTTTGAACTTTTTTGCGCCTTAAAGATGTGAAGATATCATTGCATATTACTGTTTGAATAAATTATTTTTGCACTTGATGCGCGCGCTTTGCTTATGCTAAATTGTGATAAGCCATCTCGTATTTTTTCATGCATATTATTAACACGTAGTCACATGATTTTTATCGCGCAATTTGAAATAAACAAGCACTTGTTAATTTTTTCAAAGACCACAAATTGCACGCGCCCTACCGGCTCGTGCAACTTTGTTAGTCTTTAAAAATATTTACTCGTGCTTATTTATTCCAAATTGCACTCGAAATCACGTGATTACCTATACGAAACTTGTATTTTAATTGGTTTCATTTCTGTTCTTACCCTTGCATCAAATATCCACAATTGACAACATGAGGCACTTTTCCCTTCATATCACCCATTCTTATTCCGATATTCTCTTACTTTCTCGTTTTTCTGTAAGCTCCATTATCTAGGATTTATCACATCACGACAGCAATACTTTGATATCACACCTCGGTTAATGCTCTAGAGGAACATCTTAACACGACTTCTCTAGTTGTCACAACCTTGGAGTTTCAATCCTTCTGACAACTTCTAGCATTTGACAGAGCACATACAGAACAAATCTAACTTGCCCCTTGCCCCATGACGGAGATATCCTTTGATGCAGATATCAAGGTTGTATTAATTAAACAGATGAGGATTCAAAGCTCTCCTTGATGAGAGGCTACTTTATTTGCAGCTTTATTGTGTAACTTTAACCGTAAACCTGAGAGATGAAGACCTGCTATCGCGAGGAGTTTCCTTTCTCACCTCTTTGGCAAAGCCCTCCTTCAAATCCGTCAGAACAAATACAGCGGTAACCACGACTACCAAACCCCGCTTGACAAGTAGAGTTACTAACACACGGATTGCTCTCACAGGAATTCTAAAATGCAAAAGATGAATCAAGTAATTAGATAGATAAAGCTTAGATGAGTAAATAAATTGACTGAGTATTTAGAGAGATAAATAATAAAGTGGTAAATAAATAAACGAGGATCAACGTGAAACAGAGGTTTCTCGCTTGCGGAACGATCACCCTGGTAAAACTCATATGGTCATTTACTTACAATGATTGATCTGTATAAAGAGCCGTTCCTATATTCGAAGTAACTGGGAGAGACTTGCAAATGAGTTCTGTTGCTTAGCTCGCATGTGAATGTTCCATCTCCCAACGGACCATAGTTATAGGACACACAGTTTGGTTCAAAGTAGCATTTAAACCCGCAGATATTCTTGTCCTTTGCTTGTTCACTTCTTATGACGTGTTTTGTTAAGATCTTGTTTTTCGTTCCTGCTTTGAACTGAATCACTCGGCAATCATCTAAAGTTTTGGCAAGAAATGAAGAATTCAATCTATCGCAAGGAGTTTCCTTTCTCACCTATTTGGCAAAGCTCTGCTTCATATCCATCAGAACAAATACAGCGGTAACCATGACTACCAAACCCCGCTTGACATGTGGAGTTACTAACACACGGATTGCTCTTGTCTCTCCATCGTCAATTTGCTCTTGTCTCTCCATCGTCAATTTATCCAGGTCGACAATGTGAGCACTGATATGAACCCAAATTATTGACACATTCGCGCTCAGCAGTGTTTTGCTAATTGGCATTCATCAACATCTTCACAGAATTTAAGAAAAAAAACCAAAGCTAGAAACTCTCCACTATAAGACATTTCTTCCAACTCTATGAAAGTGGCCCTGTGTATCTGTGTACTTTTCTTTCTGTCTCTCTTCCTGCCTGTCCTTTTCACATCTTTTTAGTCAGGATTCTTACGCCTGTTCTCCTGTCTTTTCTCCATCGTAATATTGCACGCATAATTTTTTTGGCAATTATAGCTTGTTAACTTTAATGTAAACTCAATTAAATATTGAACTGTCTGAACTCATCTTTTTATCGTTAGATGTTTTTTTTTTTCCTCACCTGTTTCACACTGAACTCCTCGATATCCAGCAGGACAAAAACAGCGGTATCCATGGTTACCAAACCCCGCTTGACATGTGGCGTGATTGGCACATGGAATGCTCTCACAAGGATTCTGAAAAGATAAGAAGAAAATATATCAATTTATAAAATAAATTAATTTTAAAATGATGAATAGATAAATAAATAACATCGAAGGGAACAACACTATATCCGAGTTTTTTTTGTTCGTAAATTGATCACCTTTGTAAATTAAAACTGCATGTTACCAGGCCGTACTTACAAAAATTTCTGTGTATACAAATCCACTTTTGTCTTCAAGGGAGTCGGGGACTTGTAAGTGGGTCCTGTCATTCAGTTCACATGTGAATGTTCCATCTGACAGTGGAACATAGTTGTAGGACACGCAGTTTGGTTCAAGATAGCATCTCAATTCACAAACATCCTTGTCTGGCAGATGATCTCCCCTAATGACGTGATTTGTTAAGATCTTATTTTTTGCTCCTTCTTTGAATTCAATCACTCGACAATCATCTGAGGGAGGAAGAAGGAATAGGGAAACCAATGAGAAATATAATCAGCTATATCAAAAAAGCATGAACAGGTGGCAAACCTTTCCATATTATGGGCAGTAATTCAGTCAAATTGCCTTCAACGCCAAATCCTTTTGTGCGGCATTTACATCTCCAAAAAGGTAATTTCTTTCGACCTTTTTTCTTTTAGGAGAGATGGTCAAAACTAATACTCTTTTACTCACAATACGTGAGGGTTGATATCAAATTGAAACAGAAACCGGAATAGGCTGAAGGAAAGAGAGGAATATGATCGTAAGGAACACGTGGATGAAGCAGAAATTACCTCATTTGCGTAAAATTTTTAATCTTTTCTTGTTTTCGTTTTTATGCTTTGTCTTGTTCCTTCTATTTAATTTGTTTATTTCTAACTTAATTGATTCATGAACAGAGCTTTACGAATGCATCACAAACCAAGACAATTGTCCCTGAGAGAATGGACTGGGCATGCAGTGACTGTGGACTTGTCCTGGTCAGCTCCGGCCTTTATGGATGATTTAATACCGACACTGAAAAGGAAAAATAGAAAAGGTAGCTTTAAATCGTCTGCGACAAGAAAACTCGGATAATTAACGGATAATTTAAGCAAAATTAAATATGTTCAATGATCGTTTCCTGTAATCCAATATGTCAGTTTTAAGTAGGTTACGTCGGTAACAGTTGTATATGATTTTACCAGGCGATATGTTGTTAATCCTCTACACTATGACGAGGTGTAAATAGGCGTCAGGAAGTAAGCCGCCATCATCACGATTTAAAAGAGCGTGGGCGGAGTTGATATGCCAGGCCTCCAAACAAAGGCGCTGGTGGTAACGTCGATTAGTGATGATAATTGTAGACTTATCCCACCCAATTGTATGGTTGTTTAGGCATGTGTGCTTCGACAAAGCTGAATTTTCTTTTTCGCAAAAGAAGACCACTTTTTGATGTTCTTTCAAACGTGTACCAAACTGACGTTTGGTCTGTCCGATATACTCGTGACCACAGTCATTGCACGGAATAGAATAAATAGCGTCGGTTCATATTTATTCTATTTATTCTATTCCACGGCAAAAAGTTCGAATTTTCATATCGGGGGAAAGTGAAAGTGAATTTCTACCTTATGTCCGTTTTTTACCAAAACATCTTTCTTATTCATTTTTTTGTTTTCATGAGTTCGCCGTTTTGTTGTAAATTGGGCATTCACTCACTTTCCACAACTAATTAAGTATTTTGGGAGCATTTCACAGCCCAAAAAAATTTAGTAAGATTGTATGTTTTGTCATAGACAAGAGCTCCCTTCGAAACCTTTCAACATTTTAAAACTTAACTTTGCTGCTCTAAAGTCAAATTCTCACCTAACTTGTAGCGATTGAGGTTTAAAACAGTTTATATGAAAACAACATTATTTTGCCTAATTGTGGCACACAAAATAAACTTAAAGAAAAATTTTTTTCGGGGAAATTTTGGAAGTTTGAAGGGAAGAGACTTTGCCGAGTGACATAAGTGCCCTATTGTACTAATTTTGAATGATAACAAATTCATGATTACCTAAAGCCCTTGAATAAACGTTATGTGTCTGAGTTATTTATTGAAAAAAAAAAGCTTTTATTCCACAGCACTTGCGTTACCAAATGTTTTTTCCGTTGGCGAGAAGGAGTGATGGATATTTGCAACGAGGATTAGGGCACTTTTGTAACGATCAACGTATGCCACATAAACTGTTGATAACTCTGCTGGTGGCTTTCCAACGAATAAAACAATTCATGTTATTTGTGTTTCTATAAAAAAAACCCGTTTAACTCATGTGAATCATTGTTCCTTTATTTGATGACAGTCTTCATAGGGGTATGCCCAAGTGGGGTGGGCGGGGGTGGTTGACATGACGGTCAGTCTATCAGTTGTACTAAAATGCGTAATAAGAGGTTACGCTTGATTCGCAGCCGCTATTTTCCGATCGGACTGAAAAGCAGCACAAATTGAGTTCAATACTCTGTGAAAAGCCAACGGATTGGTATAAGACGGCAGTTTCCTCAAAAGTATGCTGATTAATGTTGTCTGGTATTTATCTGCTGTCGAAATGTCATTCAGCTGCCTATATATATTTATAACGTATTTGCATGGTATTGTCAACAATACTACAACCGGCCTACTGGCCGGCTTTTGGTCAGTGCTCCATTCCCGGGGAAGAATTCCATGTGAACTCTATGAAAGAGGTGGAGCCTAGAAACTCGCGGGTAAGTATCAGAATAAAATTCCTAAAACAGCCCAATGTGGGCAGTTTCACCCCTTAAATAAGTCATTATAGTAGGAAGGAGCAAAAGGGAAAGCAAGCGCGAAAAATATAGAATGAGGCCGGAGGGGTAGAAACTGGAACAGAAACTGAAACACACTGACACCATGATCAAACAGACAAGCAATTAATACAAGCTATTTATACAAGCTATCCATTCAGGGTCGTAACAAGGTATATGAGATCAGGGATCAACGGCTTAGGGGTGGGATCAGGGATCACAGCCCCGGGATCTGGGATCACAACACTTGGGATCGGGATCAGCAGTGTTTTTGTGGAATCAGGGATCAAAATTGTGAACGTTTTTGGGATCAGGGATCAAAATTCCCAATGTTTTTGTGATCAGGGATTAAAATTCTCAACGTTTTTGTGATCAGGGATCAAAATTTGGGGCAAAAAACAACAAGAAAAACAACAACTCTCTCTCTCTCAGGCCCGTTTCAGTGTTCGTCAATCTCGCTACATGTCCATCAGGACCAGTTTTTTAAAGGACAGATAAAGGGCATTGCTATACAACGGATAAATCGTTATCCAGACGATAAGTAATAACGAAACCTACTGCGCTACACGTCGGATAGCAATTTATCCAGTAGATAGTGTTATCATCCCTTTAAAAAAACCAGGCTGAACGTCTCTGTCTGTGTCTCCCCCTATTGTTACTGTTTGTCTAATTGAATAAGAATCATAAGGGGCTACAAGGCAAGCCATAGCCATGTGAACAGCTCGTCTCCAATACACAACTATTTTTTTTTAATTGGCCATCTCGAATCTATGGATTAAAAAATGGTAAAGTACTTCCAAATATTCGATTTTTTTACATTCACTTTTGGCAATTCTACCATTCAAATAGCGCGTATACTATTCAAAATGAAAATTACCCAGAATTACTAGAACTGAACAAAATGCGAGCTCGAAAGAGACCGACAAACATGTGGAATTTATTCAATCCGTCTTCTGTTATCATTCCCAAATAACAGCCGTGACTGAAATTAATTGGAACTTGGTTACATATCACATGATATGATAAATTTATCACATGATGATAAATTTAAGAAGGTCTGTTAATTTTTAAAATGTTAAATGAATTTTTCTCGGCCCCTTCTTTTACTTGAAACCACACTGATTATTTAATGTATTTGACACTTCTCTTCCAAGCTAATTCTAAAATCTAACTACTATGAGAACGTTATATCTGGTATTGTTCAGGTCTCAACTTTCTAAATAATAATTATAGCAACCGCTGTAGAAAAGGTTTCTGAAATACTGCAGATGGAACTTCGCTCGGCGAAAGGCACCAAGGATCCTCGATCCGTCCTTTTCAATCTTCTTTGATATATGTTCTCTTATACAATTATACTTACAGAAAATTCATCCCTCTTGACTTGACTCGTTATAACTCAGACTGACTGATAAACTCTGATTGTCTCTCTGATCGACTCTAATTTACTTTGAGTTAATCTGGTGGGCTGACTTCTAACTTAATAGTACGCGCTTTACATTCACTTTCGGTAGGCATGAGTAGGCATGCTGGTCAAATGATCTTCGAAGATTACGCTCTAGCCTTCAAAACAGCAACACACGCCTATTTTCACCCTCTCCCCCATGACATTTTAATAATCTTTCAGGCGTACTTTTTCTTCTCTCAATTTGACTCTAACTTGATCTTGTTAAATCAAATTAAAACTTTGATCTTCATAAATAAACTGTCGACCTTCCAAATCTCAGATTTAGTTCAATGCTGAATTTCAGTTTAAAGAGTACAAAGCATAAACGTCCGCACATGTCTCACCATCGTTATTATACTCGGTAGAACCAACCAGGTCATGCGCATACCAAATTTGGAACTGTTGGCCAACAGATACAACCAAGGGCATGGGGAGAAAATTAAACACAAGCGTGGGAGAGTTGACATCAGCACACCACAAGTTGGTAAGTATACAGTTTGTTTTCGGCGTTACTTTTCACGAACTCAGCAAGTGGAAGAACAGTTTTGTTGCTGTATGTTATCACTGTCATCAGGTTATAATTTCCGTATTCTGGTCGTAAGCATCCCCATTTGGTCGGTGAGCGATTAGTGTCGCATGTAACGGAGCCACTTGTATGTACGAGTTTGAAAGTGTAGACTTGACCGGCTTCTCGGATATCAAAAGTTCCGTGGTCGTCATTTTTTGTCCCAAAACAGACAGGATCGATGTTGACCTTTTCCCAGTTATCTGTTAAAAAGTTTTCCAGGTTTCAAATAAAGCCTCAGGTTTTCGTGTCTTGGAAATGGTAACGCAAATAAATTGATTTATTTGAGGAAAGTAATTAAAGAATAACTGTGGTTATGTTCAAACCACACTATTCACTCACATTTGTTTGTGTTTTGGGTTAAAGATCAAGATATACCTGAGCAAAAGTGCCGTCCATCTCCAAGGTGTCCGACTGACTGACAGCTGCAGTCGAATGATCCAGCGGTGTTTGTACAATCGGCCGCAAAGTGACAGACATGGCTTCCATCGTTACACTCATCTATATCTAAGTAGAAATGGAATATGAGACTAATCAAGGTGTAGGGAAATTATCAGAAGAGGTGGGGTTGTTTTTGGCGTTTCCCAGAATCTACTGAAAAGTGTAATGTGTTGAGGTCCTTGGATTCACAGGTTTGCCAGAAGTTCGGCATCATTCTGTGTGCAATTTTGCTGACTATGATGTGGAGGCAGTCTTCTCAGATACATAAACATGTAAAGACTTATAATTACCATTTTTTAGCAGTAATTTTAAGAACAATTGACCCTGCGAATTGCATCAGTTATTTCTGTCTTACAAGACTGATGAAGAGAGTAATCGATAGCTTTGCACTTTTATATAAAATAAATGTTACCTTGGCAAATTTTACCATCGCCAGTAAATCCAGATTCGCAAAAGCACTGATATGAACCCACGACATTAACACAGTCGCCGTCAGAGGAACAATCGTGTTTGCTTGATGTACACTCATCAGTATCTACACACGAGTTACAAGAGACGGAGAAGTTAGACGTATGAGCCCATAACATTAACACAACTGCCATCAGAGGAACACTTCACCTTGCCTTAGACGCATTCGTCAATATCTATTCAAGATTAAAGGAAGATGAAAAAAACATATTCCTTATTTTGAAATAGATATTTTTCATCTAAAGTTCATCTCCATGGTATTAATCAATTATTTCTGTCAGTTATTCCAAAATTCCACTGAACTATTTGCTTTCAGCACGAAACTTATACTTTTATTCGTTTCATTTCTGTTCTTGCCCTTGCATCAAATATCCATAGTTGACAACATGAAGGCAGTTTTCCTTCGTATCACCCTTTCTTATTCTGATATTCTCTTTCTTTCTCGTTTTTCTGTAATCTCCATTATCTAGGATTTATCACATCACGACAGCAATACTTTAATATCACCTCTCGGTTAATGCTGCAGAAGAACATCTCATAACGACGTCTACAGTTGTCTCAACCTTGGGGTTTCAATCCTTCTAACAACCTCTAGCATTTAAGGAAGCACATACAGAACAAATCTAACTTGCCCCTTACCCTGTGACGGAGATATCCTTTAATGCAGATATTAAGGCTGTATTGATTAAACAGATGAGGATTCAAAACTCTCCTTGCTGAGAGGCTACTTTATTTGCAGCTTTATTGTGTAACTTTAACTATGAACCTGGGAGATGAAGACCTGCCGTGACGAGGAGTTTCCTTTCTCACCTCTTTGGCAAAGCTCTCCTTCATATCCGTCAGAACAAATACAGCGGTAACCATGACTACCAAACCCCGCTTGACAAGTAGAGTGACTAACACACGGATTGCTCTCACAGGAATTCTAAAATGCAAAAGATAAATCAAGTAATTAGATAGATAAAGCTTAGATGAGTAAATAAATAGACTGAGTATTTAGAGAGATAAATAATAAAGAGGTAAACAAATAAACGAGGAGGATCAACTTGAAACAGAGGTTTCTCGTTCGCGGAACGATCACCCTGGTAAAACTGATATTGTTATTTACTTACAATGATTGCTCTGTATAAAAAGTCGTTCCTATATTCGAAGTAACTGGGAGAGACTTGCAAATGAGTTCTGTTACTTAGCTCGCATGTGAATGTTCCATCTCCCAGCGGACCATAGTTATAGGACACACAGTTTGGTTCAAAGTAGCATTTGAACTCGCAGATATCCTTGTCCTTTGCTTGTTCACTTCTTATGACGTGTTTTGTTAGGATCTTGTTTTTCGTTCTTGCTTTGAACTGAATCACTCGGCAATCATCTAAGGGTTTGGCAAGAAATAAATAAGCCAATGAAGAAGCCAATTAGAAATGAAATCAAACAGCACACAAACTTAAAGGAAGCCGACAACCTAAGTTTTATCGCAATATTTGTTGAAAGTTTTTCCATAAATGCCAGGGAAACTATATAATTAACTCTTGATTTGCCGCTCGACGAAAAAAAAAAAAAGCCACGAATATTTGGAAAGGCAGGTGATAAACCTTTCCTCTCTTTTCGTTAGGTGAGTGACTTAGCTAAATAGCCTGCAAACTTGAATTCAAGGCATCATATTCATCTTACCAGAAAAGTTGCTTTTTCGGACAATCATTTTTTATTTACCAATTACATTGAAGAATAGGATTGATGTTCACCATTATGATTCTAAATAGGATCTGGTTTTCAAATGAGGGGGTAGGTTTCTAAGGAAACTGTGACGCTGCCTCGATGGGGGTAGAACTCAATAACCTTTAGCGCTTCGCTCTGAAACGTCAGCTTTAGAAATTCTTCACGATAGCAAATCTATACTATTACTCCTTTAGCTTTCAAGGTCCTCATCAATGTGTTTTTCCGTTTCAGTTTTCATTTCATAATAATCGGACATCAGCAACCCAAAAATTGTTAACAGATCATGTTTGGACAAATGTCGACTTGAATCCGCAATAATTTTACCAAAAGATCTTCTCTCCACGTCCACGTTTCCTTTACGCCCAACTAAGATCACGGCATTGTAAACAGGGTAGTTTTGCAATAACTGCTATCGTGCAATATCCCATTTCTGCCATTTTTACTTTGAGAATTCGAAATTTCACATTATCACTCGGAATAGATTTAAAGTTAACTTAATGAGTTTTCTCTTTTCACACACTTACTTTCTTCTTTTTTTTGTACCATAACACAAGGATATGAATCTGATCAGGAATAAAACAGTTATAATAGATTAAAGTGTAGGCGATGCCAGCTTTTGGCAGGAGTCACTTACCTCCATACACCAGTACACCAAAACGAAAAATCCATATTAAAGTTAGGACCTTACTCATTGAAGGATCACCAACGGCTGGTGAGAACAGTATCATATTGTCGTTAGTGAGAACACCCTTCAGCTAGCTATAGCGAGCTAAATGAAACGCTGGTCTCTCTTGTAAATGCAACGAGACCTAATATTTCAACACTCAAAACAATACAGCGAATTGCAGAATCATAAAAGAGGAAAATGATTATTAATGTAAGCGGCAGATGTGAGACCAGCACGCTTCGCAGTTATAGGATTTTATTTTTAACATTTGCGAATACGTCACTTGAATAATCACATGGCTTAACTTAAATTGAAAACAAAACATCGAGTCTTAAGAATTACAGAAAAACTGTAGGAGAAAAAAAAAACTTAAATGCGTGATGTTTGCCTTTGTAAATAACTAATTAACAGCTTGCCGAAGATTGCCTAACGCAAGACGTTTTTCAGTGTTACCACTTTGATGTATGCGTTAAATGAAGTTGAAAATCTGTCGAGCGCGTTCAACTGCAGATTAATTCATTGAAGGATCAAAATAAAAAAAGGTTGGACCGCTTCAAAAAGCTCCACGACAAAGACGTGCGAGAAAGCATGCACATTTATTTTAATTTTAAGGAAATACTTCAAACAGAGAACATGCTGAACAGTGATAGATTTATTTTTGTGGAAATGAAAATTGAAAAGACCATCAACACTTTTATAAGCTAAAATATTTCAAGTGATAATTAATTAAAAAGAATTCTTCAACGATAAGATGAAACCTTAAGGAAATACTTGAAACAGAGAACATACTGAACAGCGATAGATTTAATTTTGTGGAAATGAAAATTGAAAAGACCATCAACGCTTTTTAAGCTAAAATATTTCAAGTGATAAACCCAAACTTGAACACCTTTGCCTCTAAATAACCAAATTCAAATAAGAAGGAGGGTAAAATTGAATATAATTAAAGTGAATCCACTTGATGTCAATCACATAGAAAATTCTCAATGTAGATTAGGTTGGTGATACACTCACAAGGCTCAAGTTTGCACCTGACGTTTGTTTACCTCAAGAGCACTCATTTTTTTTTCTCATCTTAACTCAAATATATTGCCTTGGTGTCATGAAAGAGGCTGATTTCCTGCCTCGTAAAAAGCGAAAAAAAAAATACCACAAAAGAAAAGGAAACAATTGTATTGGCAATATATTACAAGGACACCCCGTCGACACTGTTTTAAAGCTGAAATTAAATGTGCCAGCCGCCCACAAAAAAAAGCAGTGTCTTTGGTTAGCGAAATTATTCAGGGCTAATTTTTGTAGGATGGTTAAACGGTTTAATAATCTTTTCTGTCACAAACGTACCGCCATTCCGTCACGTATCTTTTAAGACGCAACAAACGCATATTGCAGCTACCGTAGGACACTTGTCTTAACTGTTTAAACCAACGGGGTACCCCAATCACCTCTTACTGCCAATCAAAATTTCCGTAAGTTCAGTTGTTTATTTACTGAAGATAAAATTAAATACAAGCTATTCAAAATGCGATTTCTGGACCCAAATCCACTGTAAAGATGATGAAAAACAGAAACACGTCATAAAATGAAACTCGACAGTTTTAAATTTAAGCTATCTTAAAGAAGAGCTGATAAAAGAGATTGTCATTTATTGAAGTTTTTATGAGCTCTGGGGCGCTAAAGTTTATTTTCAATTCATTTTCATTGAAAGAAAGCAAATTCATAAGCATCAGCCGCAGGGAAAATAACTGTTGTGAAATATTTAACAATGATGCAGTAGGCGTGCGTTGAATGTAAGCTGGTGAAAAGCTAAGGAGGCATGGCAAATCTCGACTCTTAGTATTGCTTTTTTTTTCTGCTTTTTCTTTTCGTCATTACAAACTTGCATTACTACATGAAATTATCTACTACGTTTCCATATCGATGTCGAAGCCTGCTGAATTTGTTAATATAGGGTCCCGGTAACCAATCAGCTTACTTATCGTACCAACTGAACGGACCATTCATTAAGGACCTGGTGATTGAAGCCATATCACATCTACCGTGCCTTTTTTATGAACTAAATACCACCTGCTCTCTGATTGTTTGCCGGCTGTGATTCAGAAAAGTGCAGACGTACGACCAAAGTCATCTGTAGTTGCCGCAACCGTTTAACCGTGTCAATGGTACAGAGCATAAACGTCTGCGCATGTCTTACCATCGTTATTATACTCAGTATAATTAACCAAGTCATGCGCATACCATAATTGGAACTGCTGACCAACCAATACAACCAGTGGGGTGGGGAGGAGCTTGAACACTAGTGTTGTGGAGTTGACATCGGCACCGTCAAGTTGGTAAGTGTAGTATTTACGGTCGCTGCCTTTCAAGAACTCAGCAAGCGGAAGAACTGTTTTGTTGCTGCAAGTTATCATCGTCATTAAGTTGTGATTTTCGTAAGTTGGGAATGAGCATCCCCACTTTGTTGATGTTGTTGAAGTGTCGCATGTCACGGCGCCACTTGTATGGACAAGTTTAAATGTGTAGATTTGACCGGCTTCTTGGATACGAAAAATTCCGTGGTCGTCATCTTTTGTCCCAAAACAGACAGGATCGAGGTTGACCTTTTTCCAGTTATCTGTTAAAAGTTTGTCAGGTTTCAAAGAAAGCCTTAGGTTTTCGTGTCTTAGAAACGGTAACGCAAAATAAATTGATGTATTTGAGGAAAGTAATTAAAGAAATAACTGTGGTTATGTTCAAACCACTCTACTCACTCACATTTGTTTGTTTTGGGTGAAAGATCAAGATATACCTGAGCAAAAGTGCCGTCCATCTCCAAGGTGTCCAGACTGACAGCTGCAGTCGAATGATCCAGCGGTGTTTGTACAATCGGCCGCAAAGTGACAGTCATGGCTTGCATCGTTACACTCATCGATATCTAAGTAGAAATGGAAAATGAGACTAATCAAGATGTAGGGAAATTATCAGAAGAGGTGGGGTTGTTTTTTTGGCGTTTCCCAGAATCTACTGAAAAGTGTAACATGCTGAGGTCGTGAATTCACAGGTTTGCCAGAAGTTCGGAATCGTTCTGTATATTTTAAATATGGTTAAAAAAGCAATTTTACTGATTATGATGTGGAGGCAGCCTTTTCTGTTACGTTAACATGTAAACCCCTTTTTTAGCAGTAATTTTAAGGACAATTGACCCTGCGAATCACATCAGTTATTTCTGTCTTGCAAGAGCGGTGAAGAGGGTAAACAACAGCTTTGCACTTTTATATAAAATAAATGTTACCTTGGCAAATTTTACCATCGCCAGTAAATCCAGGCTTGCAAGAGCACTGATATGAACCCACGACATTAACACAGTCGCTGTCAGAGGAACAATCGTGTTTGCTCGATGTACACTCATCAGTATCTACACACGAGTTACAAGAGACGGAGAAGTAAGATGTATAAGCCCATAACATTAACACAACTGCCATCAGAGGAACACTTCACCTTGCCTTAGACACATTCGTCAATATCTATTCAAGATTAAAGGAAGATGAAAAAAAACATATTCCTTATTTTGAAATAGATATTTTTCATCTAAAGTTCATCTCCATGGTATTAATCAATTATTTCTGTCAGTTATTCCAAAATTCCACTGAACTATTTGCTTTCAGCACGAAACTTATACTTTTATTCGTTTCATTTCTGTTCTTGCCCTTGCATCAAATATCCATAGTTGACAACATGAGGCAGTTTTCCCTTCATATCACCCATTCCTATTCCGATGTTCTCTTACTTTCTCGTTTTTCTTTAAGATCTATTATCTATGATTTATCACATCACGACAGAAATACTTTATATCACCTCTCGGTTATTGCTGCAGAAGAACATCTTATAACGACGTCTCCAGTTGTCACAACCCTGGAGTTTCAATCCATCTGACAACTTCTAGCTTTTAAGAGAGCACATACTGAACGAATCTAACTTGCCCCTTGCCTTATGGCGGAGATATCCTTTGATGCAGATATTAAGGCTGTATTGATTAAGCAGATGAGGATTCAAAACTTTCCTTGCTGAGAGGCTACTTTATTTGCAGCTTTATTGCGTAACTTTAACTATGAACCTGGGAGATGAAGACCTGCTATCGCGAGGAGTTTCCTTTCTCACCTATTTGGCAAAGCTCTCCTTCATATCCGTCAGAACAAATACAGCGGTAACCATGACTACCAAACCCCGCCTGACATGTAGAGTTACTAACGCACGGATTGCTCTCACAGGAATTCTAAAATGCAAAAGATGAATCAAGTAATTAGATAGATAAAGCTTAGATGAGTAATTAACTAAACTGAATATTTAGAGGGATAAATAATAAAGTGAGTAAATAAATAAACGAGGCGGATCAACTTGAAACAGAGGTTTCTCGCTCGCGGAACGATCACCCTGGTAAAATTGTTATTGTTATTTACTTACAATGATTGCTCTGTATAAAGAGCCGTTCCTATATTCGAAGTAACTGGGAGAGACTTGCAAATGAGTTCTGTTGCTTAGCTGGCATGTGAATGTTCCATCTCCCAGCGGACCATAGTTATAGGACACACAGTTTGGTTCAAAGAAGCATTTCAACTCGCAGATATCCTTGTCCTTTGCTTGTTCTCTTCTTATGACGTGTTTTGTTAAGATCTTGTTTTTCGTTCCTGCTTTGAACTGAATCACTCGGCAATCATCTAAAGTTTTGGCAAGAAATGAAGAATTCAATGAGAAAATGAAATCAAACGGCACACAAACTTAAAGGAAGCCGACAACCTAAGTTTTATCACAATATTGGTTTAAAGTTGTTCCATGAATGCCAGAGAAACTATATATATAACTCTTGATTTGCCGCTCGACGAAAAAAAAAAAAAAAAAAAACACGGATATTTGCTATGCTCTTTCATCCTCGAAAAAAAGGCAGGTGATAAGCCTTTCCTCTGTTTTCTTTAGTTGACTGACTAAGCTGAATAGCCTGACACTTGAATTCAAGGTATCATATTCATCTTAACAGAAAAGTTGCTTTTTCGGAGAATCATTTTTTTCATTTACCAATGGCATTGAAGAACAAGATTGATGTTCACCATTGTGATTTTAATTAGGATCTGGTTTTCAAATGAGGGGGGTAGGTTTCTAAGGAAACTGTAACGCTGCATCGGTGGGGGTATAACTCAATAACCGTGAGCGCTTCGCTCTGGAACGCCAGCTTTAGAAATTCTTCACGATAGCAAGTCTATATTATTACCCCTTTTAGCTTTCAACGTCTTCATCAGTGTCTTTTTTTTCCGTTCCATTTATTATATATAATAATCGGACATCAGCAACTCAAAAATTGTGGACAAATCATATATAGACCAATGTCGCCTTGAATCAGCAATAATTTTACCAACAGATCTTTTCTGTTACGCCCAACTAAGATCACGGCATTGTAAACAGGGTAGTTTTGCAATAACGTGCTATCTTGCAATATCCCATTTCTGCCATATTTACTTTAAGAATTCGAAATTTCACATCATTACCATGAATAGATTTAAAGTTAACTTAATGAGTTTTCTCTTTTCACACACTTACTTTCTTTTGTACCATAACACAAGGATATGAATCTGATCACGAATACAACAGTGATAACAGATTAAAGTGTCAGCGATGTCAGCTTTTGGCAGGAGTCACTTACCTCCATGCACCAGTACACCAAAACGAAAAATCCATAGAAAAGTTAGGACCTTACTCATTGAAGGATCACTAACGGCAGGTGAGAGCAGTACCATATTGTCCGTAGTGAGAACACCCTTCAGCTAGCTCTAGCGAGCTAAATGAAACGCTGGTCTCTCTTGTAAATGCAACGAGACCTAATATTTCAACACTCAAAACAATACAGCGAATTGCAGAATCATAAAAGAGGAAAGTAATTATTAATGTAAGCGGTAGACGTGAGATCAGCACCCTTCGAAGTTATAGAATTTTATTTTTTAACATTTACGAATACGTCACTTGAACATTCACATGGCCTAACTTAATTTGAAAACAAAACATTGAGTCTTAAGAATTACAGAAAAACTGTAAGAGAAAAAAATAACTTCAATGCGTGATGCTGGCCTTTGTAAATAACTAATTAATCGTTTGCCGAAGATTGCCTAACGCAAGAGGTTTTTCAGTGTTACCAATTAAATGTTTGCATTAAATGAAATTGAAAATCTGTCGAGTGCGTTCAACTGCAAATCAATTTATTGAAGGATCATTATAATAAAAGGTTGAACCGCTTCAAAAAGCTCCAAGACAAAGACGTGCGAGGAGGCATGTAACTTTATTTTAATTAAATAGGAATTGTTCAACGATTCGATGAAAGCTTAAGGAAATACTTGAAACACAGAACATGCTGAATAGCAGTAGATTTAATTTTGTGGAAATGAAAATTGAAAAAACCATCAACAATTTTTTAAGCTAAAATATTTCAAGTGATAAACCCAAACTTGAACACCTTTGCCTCTAAATAACCAAATTCAAATAAGAAGGAGGGTAAAATTGAATATAATTAAAGTGAATCCACTTGATGTCAATCACATAGAAAATTATCAATGTAGATTGGGTTGGTGATACACTTACAAGGCTCAAGTTTGCACCTGACGTTTGTTTACCTCAAGAGTGACCATTTTTTTCTCATCTTAACTCAAATATATCGCCTTGGTGTCATGAAAGAGACTGATGTCCTGCCTCGTAAAAAAGGAAAAAAAAGATGAAATACCACAATGCCAAAGGAAACAAAATTTTATTGACAATATATCACAAGGACACCCTGTCGACATTGCTTTAAAGCTGAAAATTTTATGTGCCAGCCGCCCACAAAAAAAAGCAGAGTCTTTGGTTACCGAAATTATTCGGGACTAATTTTGTAGGATGGTTAAACGGTTTAATAATCATTTCTATCACGAACGTACCGCCATCCCGTCATGTATCTTCAAGACGCTACAAACACATATAACAACTACCGTAGGACACTTTTCTTAACTGTTTAAACCAACGGGGTACCCCAATCACCTCTTACTGCCAATCAAAATTTCCATAAGTTCAGTTGTTTGTTTACTAAAGATAAACTTAAATACAAGCTATTCAAAGTGCGATTTCTAGACTCAAATTCACTCTAAAGATAATGAAAAACAGAAACACGGCATAAAATGAAACTCAACAGTTTTAAATTTGAGCTATCTTAAAGAAAAGCTGATGGAAGAGATTGTCATTTATTGAAGTTTTGAAGAGCTCCGGGAGCTAAAGTTCATTTTCAAATCATTATCATTAAAGAAATGCAAATTCATAAGCTTTAGCCGCAGGGAAAATAAGTACCACCCGCTCTCCGATTGTTTTCTGGTTGTGATTCAGCAAAGTACTTCGCCTGAAGTCATCTGTAGTTGTCGCAACTGTTCAACATGGTGAACGGTACAGGGCATAAACGTCTACGCATGTCTTACCATCGTTATTATTCTCTGTATAATTAACCAAGTCATGCGCATACCATAATTGGAACTGCTGACCAACCAATACAACCAGTGGGGTGGGGAGGAACTTGAACACTAGAGTTGCGGAGTTGACATCAGCACCGTCAAGTTGGTAAGTGTAGTATTTACCGCCGCTGCCTTTCAAGAACTCAGCAAGCGGAAGAACTGTTTTGTTGCTGTAAGTTATCACCGTCATTAAGTTGTGATTTTTGTAAGTTGACAATGAGCATCCCCACTTTGTTGATGTTGTTGAAGTGTCGCATGTCACGGAGCCACTTGTATGGACAAGTTTAAAAGTGTAGATTTGACCGGCTTCTTGGATACGAAAAGTTCCGTGGTCGTCATCTTTTGTCCCAAAACAGACAGGATCGATGTTGACCTTTTTCCAGTTATCTGTAGGAGAGTTTTTATTGAGAAAATTAGAACAAAGTAACGGAGGTATTCATAATTTCTACTGTAAAGACAGTCCGTAGTTTTGAAGAGCACGAAAACTCAAGGTACTTAAAAAAGAACGTAACTCCTTGTCTGTTAGCACTCGCACATTTTCGGCGTATAGGTCTGCGAGAAGACTGCGTAGAGCTAGATGGATCTCTTTGAAAATGATTCCAGAAAACAACAATTCTGTGTTAGTTAAGGTATGCTATAGTAAGTTTTGAAGGGAAAACGTTTCAGTGGTCGCTTTAAAGAATTACATCGTAAAGCAAAATCAGTTTTCTAGAATTTGCTTAGATCTATGTTTATCTAACTCATCATCTCATTGTCTCCTCACCTTCTTGATTTTGAACACCTTGATATCTATAAGGACAAACACAACGATATCCATGGATACCAAACCCCGCTTGACATACGTAATGACTTGGGCACGGGCTGCTCTCACAAGGGTTCTGAAGAGAAAGTTTTTGTCGATTAATATCGAATTAAAACTCGTAACCATCTGTTGTGGATGTAGTCTGGGTATTTACTCACAATCATTGCTCTGTAGAAGAATTCTTTTCTATCCTTTTGGTAACTGGGAGAGACCTGGAAGTGAGTTCTGTTGTTCAGCTCGCATTTGAAAGCTCCATCACCCAATAAACCGTAGTTGAAGGACACGCAATTTGGTTCTAGGAAGCATTTTATTTCACAAACGTCTTCGCTGAGTACTAGTTCACTTCTTATGACGTGTTTGATAAGAGCTTTATTTGCTTCCCTCTCTTTGAACTCAACCGTTCTACAGTCATCTAGAAAAAGAAACATATATGAATAAACTGAACAAGAAGGGCTGTATGTCATTATTTTTTTATCGTATATAAAACTTAGAGTGCAGCTTCCCACGACCATGCCCACCCGGTGATTTTGGCTGATTAGAAAACAACTTCAAGTGCGGCTTAAACAAGCTAAAAAGCACACAGAAGACAAATAATAAAACAATATTTACTGAGTGGGCTTATGCAAAGTCAACTGCAGAAGAGTCGGAAAACTTTGAATCCAATGAGTTTCGCGTTGATTGACCGCAGCTGGATTTTTCCAAAATATTTCTCTTCTTCTTATTCAAAAAAGGAAAAAAAATAGACAGCGGTATTGTCTATCTTTCTTGATTTTTCTGGAAAAAAATCACCAAAACAAGATATCCTGTGCAAAATGTGACTTGATGAAAAGACGGAATCAAAGACAAATCCTTGTAAACTATGGTGTTCCTTGATATAAATTTACATACTGTCAGAAGCTACATCTAATGTTGAGAGGATATATTTTCCTTTTGCTTTATGCTTTTTTTTTTCTTCCACCTACATATTTCGTGCATTCGTGGTTTTTACAGTGTTGCGTTGACGCAATCTGAGTTCCGAACTAACCTAAAAAATTTCCTTTTTCGTTGTCAGTTTCTCAAATTTTAATCGAAGGAAGACCCGGTCCGTTAATAAGATCTTGTATCAATGGTTAAATTAAGGATTAGGAATTACATTTGACTACTTTTCTATAAGGCTTACCACCGTTTACACATTCAATCCACCAAGGGACGGACATGAAGACAACAATCGTTGTATAAAGGAGGGTAACGAGATTTTTGGAAGATGGTGTAGTCATCTCTGCTCGGTTAAAACGGCTTGCAGTCGCAGTTATAGCTAAAAAATCCCGCATTAAGCAAACATGAATTAATATTGATGGCTTACGGCTATCGACTTGACAGAAAATTGCCTAATCATCAGGCAGATGTTCAGGAAACAATTGATTACTATCAAAACAGTTGCAAGAGGTTTTTTGAAAGGTCACTAGGCCAAATTAAAACGAAATCCATCTCGTTAATTATGAGAATTATAAACAAACATTACAATGCAAAATAAGGCACTCGCACTTATCATTGTTATTTTTTTTGGAGGTTTTCTCAGGATTTTTCAGTGTCAAAACTTAGGATTACTTACCGAAGCTAGTCAAGTGATTTGTACCTCGTTAAAAGCCTATAGCCTGGCACCCCTATTATTTTCAGTTGGGTAGAAAACACATTTTGACATGAAAAGAATCACCAGTGTACCGTTGGGGAAAAATGTTGTCTTTGTTAGTAGTCATTGTTCTTCGAAGGAGTAGAACTATTCATACTGGTCTGTGAAAAATAAATTTCAAACTGTTCAGGTAGCGCTCACACAATTGTAGTTTATAGCTTTAAATGATTTCCGCGCTCGGAAAACGACTGAAAAGGTGACAGAATGTTTTTTTGAGAGAGAAGCATTGCGCAATCTGATGCTTTCGAGTTATAGCTATTACATGCTGTTATCATGTACTACGTGTTTAAAATTTTTAAAATTTGAAGCAGCTTGGTTTTTTTTTACAATAACAAAATGTTAGCCTTTGTCGGAACTTCTAGGCTGTACGACCGACCTTGAGTAGTTAATTATAAAAATAAAACAAAAATCAAAACACCAACGGTAGAATGAATTAAAATTAAAAAAGAAAGACGCACGTACACGCAAAACACTTCTTAGAACTCTTGAGAAGCTTCGTGTTTTGAATTATTTGGGTAAGCAACTTCGAATTCTTCTCCAAAATCAACCGAGTCACGAGGCTTCACTGAGAAGTTTGGAAAACTTTAAAAATAAGGGCTTATTGCGATCATAAAATTAGGCGCATATTGAGTAAAACATAAAACTTTCGTAACCAAGCTCACAGACTGACATCGTCAATCAAAGAATATCTTTATCTAGAGATGAAACATGGTTGTGAACTTGTAATTATTGGTCTTGAAGCAATGCAAGGTTGCTCTTATCTCAAAAACCAAGCTTCCAGAAACCGTACAACCCCACCGAATAGTAAACACACATATAGTCTACAAAAACAGTACAAAATAGCATCCTGCGTTTTTCGAATTACCGTTTGCAAAATTCGTCAAATTTAGACCGGCGCTGCCTTGTAAAACTAAATTTCACTCAGTATTGCACGTGCTAAATGTTCTCCAGGAATCCTAAAATCACAAAAATTCTAAATAAAGCGTTGGGAATACCCTCAATCAACAAATGAATAGTTCAAGCTTTACTGAAGCGTTCATAATTATAATTGTAACAGCATAAACATTAACCGAGTTTAAATGCTTGATGGTATAGTTTACTCATATTTGTGCAGGATTTTCTCATCTAAATAAATCTCAAATAAGACGTTGATAACGAGTTCAATCATTCACTGTACGTCTCTTTACAGCATTAAAATTATCGAGCTTAAATGCTTGATGGTACGGTTTACTCGTATTTATGCAGGGTTTTTTTATCTATATGAATTTCAAATAAGACGTTGATCCAGTCATTAATTATACATATCATAGCGGCATGAACGTTAACAGAGCTTAATTGCCTAAAGGTATAGGTTAATCATGTTTGTGCAGGATTATTTTTATCTATACAAATTTTAAATAACATGTTCATGACGAGTTCTATCATAAATTAATTATTCGTATCATAAGCTTAAAACTTTGACGCTCGACATCTCTTAATGTGGGTCTAGCGCAAATGGCGTGTGCGTTTGTAAGTAATTTGAACGTTCCAGAAGGAAAACAATTTTTCGTGATTTACAATCAAGCTTCGCACCACGAGATACTGAGAGTAAAGAGACCTATGAAGAACAAACCAAGTCACATGTTTTCTCGTCGGTCGCCTCGTTTTCACAGTTGCCTCGCTTTCATGCTTGTAGAGGAATATCGCAGGCCGTCAAGCAATGCAGGCTTACACACTTTCGACATTGACGATAGATAGTTTGATAGGAAACCGAAACCTAGACTCGGCCTACCTGTGTAGCCTGAGTAATGATCTTTGTTTACAGGGTTTTCTCCCTCTTACATCTGCTAGCAAACCACCAAGTTTTCTGCCTCGGAATAATACCTCAAAACGCATTTTATGCGACTGCAAGTTTTTTTGACTAATTGAAAGTAACGATATGCGGTAATGAATTCCACAAGTTTGCTTTTGTCGGAGAAGCACAGGATTATTTTCGTCCGCTTCTGATTGACAGCTGCAAATGTTTACATCACGGCTCTTGTTTGACAACAGATCATGAACAATCGAAGCGATTCACAGTTTTGGGTTTGTGCCTGAGCTGGATAAATTTTTGCTCGCTTGGAAGGTGATATTTAAAGCAAAGATGCTTAGTACAAACTGTAACAAAGCCTTGCTATCGTTTTAGGCGCGGTTACTACTCCAATAGTACATCTTGGTGAGTGAGTGACTAATGGGCATATCGAAGTCCCAATAAAAGCGCGTGTGCAGAATCAGTAAAACAACCATGGTATTGAGGATAGAACGCGCGTCCGTAGTAAGTAACTGAGGCAAGATAAGTTTATTTTGTATTCTGGAAAGAACAATTGTCCGACAGTAAACCGGGGCGGAAGTTAATATCAGAATCAGGCGAGGGTCTTTTTTTCAACTATCGGTCGAAGCTAAAACTCTAGTCCGCGCAAACTTATCTCACGTTTTAAAACGTGATCGGTAAGTCCCGCTGCTGTGCTACTGGTTGTGACTCAAATAGGCCGTGTCAGTCCTGATTAATCAGTTTTATTCGTCAATAAAGCTAAGAGGCTCTTATTCAGTACGCTGGTTGTATTCATGTGGTGTATGATTCGTTTTCCGGGTGCCAGTAGTTGTTGATATCTGTTCAAGGGTCTCCGCAAAGTAAGTAAACCAGCTTTTCAGAGTCAGTCGTTAAAAGTGCGGTATGTCGTTGATTATGCATCAAGCGATGACAATTTTACAAGCATGATCGCTGACGTCATTATTTGTAAGGACCGGTCTGTCTTCAGTTAATATGTTGTTAAGGTTCTTAGCCTCTCCAAAGTTGAAGGCTCCGCGGTCCAAGAACTTACTGCCTCGACCAGCCTTGGAACTAAATAGACTTATTACGTCAATTAGTCTGAATCAGTCTTTGCTTGAGAATACGATGAGCGCGAGGATTAATTTGTTCCTTTCGTGTTCAAGTCAAAACTCTTCATCTCAACGTGTTCGACTTAGGACCCTTTAAAGAGTGTGAATGTTTTCCACTGTGTGCCCATCGCCGAAGCTGAAAAAGGATTTAACTTCCCATAACTTAAGGGGATCATCCTATAAAATAGCTTCATGATTTTGTTCATGTAGATTTACGACGTGATGAAAGCCTACTCGACTGTTGAGAGGTGAAATGAAAGAAGACGTGTACGAACAACTCGCTGCTGGGTACGTGAAACGATTTTAAAGTAAGCTTTTCATAATGAAATCCCAGAAAATTCTTTATCTTAACCGGCAAACAATTAGTGAGAAAGAGACAAATGACTGAAAATGTCATCACCACATAGTCTAAACTTATTGACAAGGAAATGAGACAAAGCTAATTGAGTGTTATTTCTATGTCAGATCTTGGTAGCTAGAAAGTTAAACACATATTTGCATAATTCACTCAGACAACCGTTCAAAATCAGTAAGTAAAAATCAAAACAAAACAAAAACGCTTATGTACGTAACAAGGGCAAAATGACACGAAGACACAAAAAAGGTACGTATTTATGACAACCATTAAAAAGAGGAAAATTAAAACATATAGAACGTTGACCAAACTGGGTATCAAAGTGTCAGTTAAACTGATCAACAATTTTTGTTGTCTTTCCTGCGATTTTGCCAAAAATATTGTGAAATTAACGTCTACAACTTATACGTAAAGAAGGCAACAAAGAAAAACTCCAGTTGGTTTCTTTAAGTTCGTCTGCACTTGGTCAGTAACATGCATTTTCCATCTTGTCTTTAAACCTAAATCGCTTCAGGGGACTCTAGCGCTCTTCATATGAGAAATTTATGTCGTAACAAGATATGAGTACAGGATATTCTCCTGACCAAATGCTATGAGGCTCAAGAAAGAAATCCAGGATGTGTGATATAAACCTCGTCGACTTCCTCTACGCCGTTTCGTCTTCCATGATCGAAACCTGCTCTGTTGTTTCTACGGTGAAATTGCTCAACAGTTCGCGGAGGCTAAAACGAACCGTTTTCTGTTCATCAGTCTCAGACGGTGCTTTTGCTGTGTGTGTTTCCTTATGTTCAGTTGACGATATCTTACAAGAAAATCCTTCGCCACAAAGATCACATTCAAATGGTATTTTCTCGGTGTGCCTTGCTAAATGCTCGTTTAAATGACCTTTCTGATTAAAGCGCTTGCCACAGTGGGTGCATTTAAAGGGCCTCTCCCCGGTGTGTGTTCTTCTGTGTTGTTCCAGACCTCCGGCCTGTGTATACACCTTCCCACAAAGGTTGCACTGATGTAGGTTTTCTCTTGTATGCATGCGTTTATGTACTCTTAAAGTTGCGGCGTTTTTGTAACTCTTGCCACAGCAGTCACAAGCGATAGGCTTATCGACAGTATGTCCTCTTTCATGTTCTTTCAAATTCCCTTTCCACCTAAAACACTTGCCACAGTGCGAGCACTTAAACGGCCTATCATTGGAGTGTGTTCTTTCATGTTTCTTTGCGCGACTTTCTTGAAGAAACGTCTTTGGGCAAAAGCTGCACTGATATTGAACCTTTGGTGCATGGTCTATATTTGACTCTTCAGCTGGAGAAATCTTGCCCTGACTGCTTTGCGAATGTGTTGTTTCTTTATGTATTCTTTCATGTAGACTTAAAGCTTTCTTCCGTACAAAGCAAAGGCTACACTGGGAACATTGAAAGCGTCTCTCTTCTGAATGTGTCTTCTTATGGAGCTTCAGAATGCTTTTTAATCGAAAACATTGTCCGCACTGGTCACACGCGTATGGTTTTTTCCCACTGTGTATACTTTTATGTTCCTTGAGATGTCCTCCCTGCATAAAAGACTTGTCACACTGGTCACACTTAAAAGGCCTTTCACCAGAGTGCATTCGCTTATGCTGCTCCAGACCTCCTGCTTGAGTGAACGACTTATTGCAAAGATTGCATTGAAATAACTTCCCTTCCGCATGAACCCGTTTGTGTACTTTGAGAGTTACCGCGTGTTTAAAACTCTTATCACATTGATCACATTCCATGCGTTTTTCATTGGTATGCACCCTCTTGTGTTCCCTCAAGTTACTTGCTCGCCTAAAACTCTTGTCACACTGGCTGCATTTGAAAAGCTTTTCCTGGATATGTGACCACTGGTGTTCTTTTAGATATTCAACTTTCTTGAACGTCTTTCCGCACTGTTTACATTCAAACTTTTTTTCTAAGGTATGTCTCTGTTTGTGTTCTTTTAGATGGCCTTTCTGCGAAAACTTTTTTCCACAATGCTCACAACTAAAAGGCTTCTCACCTGTGTGTGTTCGTTTATGTTGCTCCAGACCCCCTGATCGAGTAAACACCTTCTCACAAAGGCTACATTGAAAAAGCTTCCCTTCCGAGAGCAGTCTTAGATGTACCTTTAAAGTAGCGCTATTCTTAAATCTCTTCCCACAATGACTGCATTCACATGCATTTCCACAGGATTGCAATCTTTTGTGTTCGTTCAGGTCTTCTGCCCGTAAAAAACGCTTTCTACACTGTTGGCACTCAGGAAACTTTACTCTCGCATGTCTCCGTTGGTGGTCTTTCAAATGGCCTTTCTGGGTAAACGTCTTCTCACACTGGTCACATTTAAACGGCCTCTCTCCTGTATGTGTTCGAGTATGTTGTTGTAGACCTCCTGATTGAGTGAACGATTTGTTACAAAGGTTACACTTGAAAAGTCTCTCCCCAGTGTGCATTCTTTGATGTACCTTTAAAGAGGCGCTATTTTTAAACCACTTCCCACAATAACTACATTCACATGCATTTCCACAGGATTGCAATCTTTTGTGCTCGTCCAGGTCTTCTGCCCGTACAAAATACTTTCTACATCCTTGACACTTATAAAGCTTTTCGCTCGAGTGTTTCTGTTTGTGGTCCTTCAAATGGCCTTTCTGGGTGAAAGTCTTCTCACACTGATCACATTTAAACGGCCTCTCTCCCGTATGTGTTCGCTTGTGTTGTTCAAGGCCTCCTGATTGAGTGAACGCCTTGTCACAAAGGTCGCACTGATACAGCTTTTCCCCACTGTGTAGTCTTTGATGTAATCGTAAAGATGAAGCGTGTTTAAACCACTTACCACACTGGGTACATTCAAAAGTCTTCTCAGAAGTGTGCACTTTTCTATGTCCGTTCACTCCTTGTAGTACAAAACTCTTCGAACAACCGCCACCCTCAAAATTTCTCCCGCCTTCATGAGTTCGGTTATGTTCTGCTAAGAGAGCTTCCTCACGAAATGACTCACTGCACTGGTCACATTGATAAGTTCTTTTTTCTTGGTGTAACATATTATACTTCTCTCAATCTTGAGCCTGACCGACCCACTTCCTACAAAGTTTTAATGCACATGTACATGTAATCGAATTAACTTCTCTTTGTGCCAATAAATGTTGACAGAATGTTGATTCACTTTTCAAGCTTCTCCCCTATAAGTAAAAACAGAATGGCAATAAGGTCAATAAAAAGTTGAAGTACTCAGATAGACCCATTAATAAGTAGTCACCATCAAATAAAATATAACATTAACTTGATATTTCAGCAGCCTATAAGGCTCAGTGACAGTCAGGCTTGTTAGCCCAAACTTTTGTTGCTTCACAGTGACAAGAATCTTTGGTTCAATGACAATCAAATGGAGCTTTCATTGTCCAAGCAATAAAATCAGAAGAGAAACAGGCCACTAGCATGTGTTTCTCCAAAATCATGTGAAAACCATTAAAGAAATACCATAGCAATGTTTACCAATTCACATGTTGGCTGATGCAACACTCAAGGGAACCCCAAAAAATAAGAACCCTTAAATTATTATAAAGACCCTACAATGTAACTATGACTACACCAGTACAGCTTTACAGCTAAAAAAAATAAAGCATAGTTTGAAAGAATAGTTATTGAACACCATCATTAAAGATTCAATTTCAGCAATTATTAAAAGGTCAATATCTATATTGAAGAATGCAAATTTGACACTTTTTTAAATCTGTATGCACCTGCCAGGGTTTTAGGCAACTCCTTAAGATTTTTAATGAGGGAAAACAAAAAGTATCAAACTATCTGGATTCTTTCACAGCAATCATGACTGACAAAAGGCAAAAGACATCTTCCACATTTATTCCAAATAAAATTTAATATGATGGTTATTAAAATTCATCCACCATGGAGGGTAGAAATAAAAAAAAAAATAAAAAAAAAGAATGGGCCTGACACTTCCTTTTGGCTTCTATCCCTCTAACTAATCAAGTTCATGCACACCTCTTTTAAAAGACAGTGTATCTACTTTTTGCAGTAAGCTCAAAGTGTATGCTTGTGAGCTACACTGAGATGAAGTGCCATCGCATTTTACAATGAGAACATCAGTTCAAAGTGAACTTGTCTTGATTTTTAGCATTTAGCCCCTTTCTCCTAAAGATCACCAGTATGCATGTTAGTTGTTACAAGGAGCTCAAAAGTAACTCAATTTAAATGTCCCACTTAATGAGAAGAGAGCAGCATTAACCCTTTAACTCCCAAGATCTCATTAGTAATTCTCCTTACTGTCTGCCATACAATTCTTATGTGAACTTTGGAGAATTTAGTATTGGATCATGAACTACCAATCCCCTAATTGATATTTTTCTTTGTTCTCTTCAGTTGTCTGCTTGATATTGTATTAATATTACAAGGAGAAATTCCATTTTAGGCACTCATGGGAGTTAAAGGGTTAACCAAGAGTCAGGAAAGTAAATTACAGCAAACCTGAATTAAGAGGTCACCCACAAGGAATGGAAAAATTACCACTTAATGCAGGTTCCACAGAAGAGGGATAATATAAAAAATAAATAACACTTATAAAAAACACCATTTTCATGCCATGATTGACCACTTAATGTACAAACACTCACTCAAAAATACTAGTAGAGTAACATTGATTTCAGGAGAGAAACATGAATTAAAATTTACTAGAGAGATTATTTTCAATTTTTTTTTTTCGAGTGGTTCTGCTTTAAATGAATGTTTAATACCAGTGGAAGACAATACAAAGAGGCCATTGGGACTTAGTTAGGGGTGATCACGACAACTTAGTAGAGGTGACCACTTAGTAGAGGTGAAAATTACAGTAAGTAAGGTTAAACAAGTTTGAGACTTAGATGACCACCTCTTAATATGGGTGACTGCTTAACACAGTGGAACTTAATATGGGTTCAACTGTACCAAGTATAATACAATTCAGTAATCTACACAGTACTAGAACTCTAAAAAAAAAGAGACATTGATTTCAACTCTTAACAAGTTTCTTCTCAATATTTTCAACTAACCTCCTATAACTGTTGTAAGTGATTTAAGTCATATGACTGAAAAAAAATAAATTTGCCCCCAAATTAACATTGCTCCTGTTTTGATTCCCCACAAGAAACACTAAAGTTTTTTATACCTGCACATGTATGACATAATGTTTTAAAAAGGAAATATGCTTGGACTTCAGTAATGCCTCTAATTGTTTTCTAGCACTAAAAAGTTAGAAACCTGGTATATTAGAATACACTTAAATGAAAATACTTTAATCCACAATAACTAATTTAAGGGGTTTTGATGATCTGATCAGTAAAGTGTTTGAATGTGCTGAGGCAAACCAAAAAAAGGTTTAAGGCCTACAGCATCAGAACTTCCATATTTCGCTTCCCATCAGCGACAATGCACATAAAAGTAATGACCCCTTTTGTAATCCTTCAGCAAGTAAGGAGATAAGTGTAACAACTTACTGTGGGCTAGCACCATGTACATGCACACATACTTCTGTGGTTTAAAGACCTCCTATAAACAAAGTTTTGTCCTCACGAGGAAGTGTAACTAAGCAATCCAGTAGTACACCGTCAGCACAAAAAATATAGACGAAAACAACGTGTACATAGGAGGAGAATAAAACCACAAAAGCTTCTACCAAATGATTTATATGAAACAGAACTACGTGGAAATTGTTCGTGAAGTGAACTTTAAGACAAATTCTTTTCGCAACCAGGCTAGTTTACACAAAGAATCAAAATATTTGGAGCTCAGAAATATACCTTTAAGCTATCACTCTGAAGTTAGGAGTGAAAATAGATGACATCACGAAGTAAACAAAAGATCAAATTTGAATGTACTCTCGCATTCGATCGCCAGCATGCAACGTCTGTCATTTTACATTTTCTTATTGTACCCAGGCTGTGTTCCAATATACATAAAAAGAAAATTGGTTGGTAGGTGGGATACATTTCCTCACAGATTTTCTTATCTTTACCTCGAATCCAACCATCATGACAGAGTTGATGACACTTTACTATCTAGGGCTGCATGTGTTTGCTCGCTGGGTTGACAAGCTACCGGCTACATGTTGAAAGTATTGACTTTTTGAGCAAAGCGAGCAGTCGTTTACATATTTCATGTGTTTGTAAATATGTTAGATATCACAAAGACTGGCTTACCAAGCTTGGTGGTTTGTTGGTGAAAGGTATTACATCTTGGCCACCTGAACGAAGTCTCGATGATAATAGCATATTTGACGTACTAGTATCTCAGTATGACATTCCGCTATCCAGTTTAGCCTGCTGCTTCAATCTTGTCCCCAGCGGTTTGTCGGCCACTTTTCATAGATAAAGGCCTGTGAAAGGAAACTGAACGCTGCTATCCGGGGCACAAAAGATTCCTCTCCTATCATAACATTAGAAATGTTCCTGTTATTTGAAAGAGTATCTCCAAGTCTTGAATCGAGTGACATATCACGCTTGCATTACTTCTTTAGAGGTTTCAGGGAATTTTTTTTTCAAAGTGACTGCGATCATTCGATGCGGTAAAAGAATGAAAAAAGGAGAAATATTGGAAAAGACCCCAATTTTTCTACCTTTATGCTAATGTTGTTTGCGGTGTAACTTATATCCCGTCTCCCCTTCGTCCGTTGTTCCCATTATATAGTCCAGTCCACACTAATCCTTTCAATGCATACGAAGATTGGGCACTAGGTTACCAAAGGCTGCTCCTCGAAAACAATACTTGATCAAGACTGATATTGGTTCATCAGTTTAGGAAAGGTAAGGGGAACTTAAGAGGGAATTTATTCAAAGGAAACATAGAAATTATCGCTTTCTTCAACGATTTCAAGCGAAATCACCGAGACCACCTCATTTATACGAATTAGCCGGGTGCAATTTTCCTTTTTATCACTGCCATGGTGGTCGTTATATAGCGGCGTAATATGTGACTAACAAAGTCTATAGACTGTAAGATTTTACGCCACTATCTGAGTCGGTGCACATACTGTAAGATTTTAAGCCGTTAACTAATGTTGTAACTACACCAGTAACTTACGGCGTAATTTCTTCCAGTCGGTGATACATATACGCTAGTAACTAACGGCTTAATTTCTTCCAGTCAGTATTATATATACCCTTTACGGTGGCTAATTTACGTTTTCAACTCAGTCGTTAACACTAAATTACCTAGTATTGTATATACTGTAAGATTTTACGCCAGTAACAAGCGGCCTAATTTCTTCTATTTGGTGATACATATACTGTAAGATTTTACGCTAGTAACTAGCGGCCTAATTTCTTCCTGTCGGTAATGTATTTATGTGAGGGTGCGTTCCTTTGGGAGGATTCGGATTAGCATTTGTGATCCAAGATCACACAGATCACGGTGCATGAAAGGAACGGAGTTTTAGGGTGCGTTCCTTTGGGAGTATGCACGTAGGTTATTGAGCTCTTCTCTGAATGGCTCGTCTAACTGCACGGGCTTTTAGCGCCCACAATGTGTCTAATTAGCACTATTCATTAGAAGCACATTTTTTTCATGATAAACTCAAACGATAGAGTCATCCTGGACATATAGTCAACTGCTTTACGGTAAATACATTCGCCGTTCGTCATTTTACAGTCTACTTACAATATTTTGAATTTTGTCCGGTAGAATCCGAAGAAATCTTTTTTAGTGTCACGCTTGGATCTCTACATACACTGTGTACAGCGGGGTCGGCGAAAAGGACAACGTTCGAATTTTTTTTTTCACT